GCCCTGTGGTCAGAGGGACTCCAGAGACCAAAAACCCCATAGCCTCTCCTCTTGCAAGGAATCACCTGGTTCCACACCCCATCCCCCAGGACAGGGCCAGTCTTGGCTGTGAAGGGACCCAGTGCCAGGAGCTACCCTGGAAAAGCACTGCGGCTGGAGTCTGCCCTGGGGTTCCACCTGTAGCATGTCCAGACACACAGCTGTCACGCAGGTGGGCCCAGAGGTTAAGGCTTCAGTCTGCTGTGCTTCCTTCTGTATTTGAAAGCCACCAGAACAGTGACTGCAGCCTGCTTTACAAACCAACTCTTTTTCTGCTATGCAGGGATGACCAGCCTAGCACTCAGTATCAGTAAGAGGGACAGCCCGGGCTAGGATGGCCAGGATAAAGCACTTGCTGTGCAAGGACATGAGTCTAATTTCCCAGAAATCTTAACAAAGCCAGCGTGAATGAGCAGGCCTGCAATCACAATACTGCGGAGGGAGAGGCAGGAAGCTCTCTAGGGACCAGTGAGATATACTTCAGTGGTCAAAGTGTTTGCTGTACAAGTGTGGAGAGCTGAGTTCAAATCCCCAGAAAACCTGGTGAAGGACATGTGAGCTTCGAGGCAGAGACAAGAGCTGGAGGGCTGGCTGCCCTGGTGTGTGCATTGGGAGGCAAGAGGTTGCATCCTGAGACAGTGAAAGCAGGGGTCCACACCTAAGTCCTGACACGTGCACACACCGAGATTAAAAAAAAGGCCACAGGGTCCACAGGTCATGGATGGCTTAACACAGACTTGTCCCCAAAGCTGTGTGGGGCTGACACTACTGGGGAGGAGAAGGGAGGGAGCAGACAGACACAGCGAAGGTGAAATCTGGAAACACGAGTAAAGCAGGGTTATAGCAGGCACCAGAGTGGCCCTCACCCAGAGCTGCAATGGAATCCACCTCTCCTGCTAGACGGCAGCAGAAGCCACCTCTAGGGGCAATGGAGTTTTTCCCACAGCCACTGGCACTGGCTCAGAAAGAGGCTGGGGGCTTATGACATGTCACCCAGAGGAGGGGGATCCCACGAGGCCCAAGGCAGGACCCATAGGAACTGTCACCCAAAGTGAGGAAAGGCAATAAGCCCTTGCTGTCATCTACCTGGGGCTGGATGAACCCAGGACCTAGTATGTGCCAGCCGAGCATGCACCACCCAGCCACACTCCCACCCCAGCCGTATGGAGCTCACCATTTTACCTGGGCTGGCTGCCCTGGAACTCTGTTCCCACCTCCCTGTGCTGGGGCTGCAGGCTCACTGGGCAGTGGCTGGCTCTTATGTGAGCTGACATCTGAGCTCAGGCCTGTGCTTCCGCAGCAGCAGCACCCACCCTTTCCCAGCCATGGATTTATGGCTGTGTTTGGAGACAGGGTCTCCATGTATCCCAGGCTAGCCTGGAACTCTCCATCCTCCTGAGCGCTGAGATGCGCACCAGTTGGAAGCCGGTGCTGAGCACATGCTAGGCATGCATTCCACTCACCCGGTCCAGCCCCGGCCTGCAGTTTCACTGTTTAGTAGACTTAACTTTTCTGGGGTGGCTTTAGGTAGTGATGCCTGATGCTTTCCTGTCCCACTGAGAAGGGTACAGCAGGTATGACAATGACAGAGCCCAACACATTATCCAACCAAGACCACACCCAGTGGGGGTGAATGGAAAACCAACTCATCTTCTTTTTAAAAATCAATTCATAGGGGGCTGGAGAAATGGCTCAGCAAGGAAGTACACTCTTCCAGAGGACCTGGGTTCAATTCCCAGCACCCACATGGCAGCTCACAACTATCTGTAACTCCTGTTCCCGGGAACCTGACACCTTCAGACCAATAAACATAAGATAAATTTAAATAAATTATTTTAAAAAATAAAAATCAATTTATTATTTCAAAGTTGTTTTTGTGGCATTAAGGTAGAGTCAGGACCTCACTCCTTACCACTGTGACCTGCCTGGCTGGACACTACTTAGGCTTAGCAAGTCACTGGGTCCCTGTCACCCTCTCTGAAGCAGCCAGTGTAAGAACACCCCACGAATTCAGGGACATCCTTGTGGAGGAGAAGGCCAAGATTAGAGAAATGAGTCAACAGAAGTCAGTTAGCAACAAGTTCATCAAAGCAACAGAAAGGGGTACAGCAAAGGGAGGGGTGTCAGTGCCGATTCAACAGAGCCAAGGAAGCCAGAGTGGGACCTGCACAGGATGGGCGTGGGGTGCCAAGGCTGGTCACAGGCAAATCCTGTCCGTGCAATCACAGGCCTGGATTGGAGACAGAGCCAGTGGGAGATGGGCGCAAACAGAATAATCACTAAGCAATGAAGGTGGACGGGGGGGCGGGGGGTGTATCTGGGACAGAGAGGCAGGTGAATCTACAGGGCTGAAGGCCAGGTCCCAGGTCTCATGTGGAGGGACTTGGGTGAGGAGCAGCTGCACACCAAGCACTCTAAATGCTCACCTCAGGGGTGATCTGGCCACAGTGGACTGAGCCCGTGGGGACAGCGGGGCAATGCACAAAGTTTTCAAGCTCCTGGCTCCTTGCCCTTGCCCCTCAAGGCCACCTGAGGAAAGGAGCATGCTGGGCACCCACTCTACTGATGGAGGAGCCAGGATGCTCGAGAGAGCAGGAAAGGACCTCCCTGCCTGCAGGAGGGACCTCAACCTCTGGGACTCCAACATGGCCAGCACTCCACCCCCAGGCCCTGCAGTGACAGGTCTCTCCAGAGACTGGCCATCTGCTACAGTCTGCTCCCGGCCCCCTGCTCCCAGGAGGCTGTGAGGACTGGAGGCTCTGACCTTGGTTCTGGAGCAAGGGACAAGCCCAAGGCCACCAGGCCTTGAAGCCTCCACCCCACCTCCAGATCCCTAGACAACCATCCGAAAGTGTCTCACAGCTCACACCTCTACCCCTCACCCCGCATGGCCTCACTGTCTGTGGGTGCTGGGTTGGCCCTAAGCAGCCTCCTCCCAGCACTCCCAATGAGCCCCAAGCCCCTGGAGTGAGACTTTGCACAACCTGCCAACTGACAGGCCAGGTGACTCCCCACAGGTGTCAGGTGGCACAGGGACAGATGGCTACCCTGTGCTGGGGCTCCCAGTACAACATAGGAAGAACAAGGGGGCCAGAGCCCAGCAGGGGGGGGGGCAAGGACCAGAAGTCTAGGTCAGGGCTGGGTGGGCTGGGAGAATAGAGGGCCCCTGGTACGGGAAGGAGACAAGATATGGGCTGGGGACAGATAGCCACAGGATAGTGGCTGAGTCTCTAGAGAGCCCTCTATGTAGTCAGCAGCCATCACCCTGGGAGGAAAGAACTAGAAAACCACTTGTACTCAGACCTGTACATTCCCAGGTCTGCACGCACAAACTCACACAGGCACAGGGAGCATCTGGCACAGGGACACTTCTCTCCAAACACCAAATGGCAATCTGGGCAACCCAATCTCTTGCCTCAGGCTTTGTGCCCTCCCAGGGGGAACATGGAAACTCACCCAGTGTCTTCCAAAAGGACCCCCTAAGTTTCAATACGGGGTACCCACAAGGTTTGGAGAAAAGGAAAAGGGAAAACGAAAGCGGGCTGCTGCTAGTGCAGGATGGGAAAGAAAACGCTGGGGACACGCCCTCCTGGTGGCGCTGAAGGCAGCAATTACTGGAGAATTAAAGAGAGTGATTACCCTTTCTTGGTGGAGGAAGCCTCTGAAGACCACGTAATGATCCCACTTTGAGGCAAGAGTTGTTTGGGGACAGAGCAGGCTCCAGCCCAGGGACTGTCAGATACACAACACAGAGACATCCCGGGGCCCCGAACCTTCTGCAACCAAGATCCTCAGAGCCTAAGAAGGTGCAGATACCAGGCTGCAGGCTGCAGGCTGAGCAATCCCCACTTGCACACAAGGAAAGATACACTTTCTTTATGCTTTTTGAAACATGTTACAGGATCCACCCTCTCGCTAGCTGAAAAAAAAACTAGCAACTCGGGCAAGACACTTCCCCAGGTGTTACTGAATTATTAAAGCAATGCCATCCTTTCCCCTTCCCCAGTCAGACAGATGGGACAAGAGGAAGCCCAAGAGCGGCAATGCTCTAACCGCACCGCTTACACCATCAAATCTGCAAACCAGGATCCAAACAGACCAGAATCCCTCATACTCGTACCTGGCTGCACCGTAGCCCCCCCCCCCAGCAGACCCCTACCCTGCCAAGAAGCCCCCAGCTTTCCTACAATAGTAGGAAAGTCATCCATCCCCAGCTGTCCCCGACTCTGCTGGCTTCCTGGGAAGGAGAAACGGGGCTGTCTGCCGGGGGACGCCCTGGACGGGTATGCAAGCGGGCAACTGCACAATTTATGGTTTACAGAGAGAAGAGGACTTGAAGGCAGAGGGACCCGGGAACGGATGCAAGGTGAGAAGGCTGCCATTGCAACAGTGGATACGTGCGCTATTTATTTTAACTTGAAAAAAATGCAGATTACATAGTGATTTAGGGATTCTGGGACAAGAGGGGGTCAAGTTTGGAAGGCATGATGGATGGGGTGTTTGGAGGGACAGCATGTGTCCCCTAAAGGGAATAAAAATCCAAGCGGGGAGGAGCAAGGGCTTGGAGTGAGCTTTATATTTTCAAGGATTTAGGGGTGCCGAAGGGATGGCTGGACCAGGCCACCCACGCTGTCATCTTTTGTGCCCTGGAAAGGGGACGCGGCGCCCCGCCCCCGCCCCGCCTTTGTCCGGCCCCATCGTCCCCCCTCCCCCCAAAAAAAACACACCCTCCTTTCCCAGGCACACAGTCGTTTTGTCGATCAACAAACAGCAGCTTCGCCCGAGCGGACAAAAGCCCGGCGCACCCCACCGCCTCGCGGAGTCGAGTAGGCCGCAGCCGAAGCCTCGGCCTAAAGTATGAGCGGTGTCCGCGAGGCGCGGCGCGGGGGCAGGCATGGCGGCTGCGCGGCACCCGGAGGGGCCTGGAAGCTGCAGAGCACCGCCGCTGATCGCACACTCACCTGGCGCGGCGCGCGCGGCCCCGAGTGTGGACAGCGGGCTGAGCGGCGCGTGCTCGGCCGCCTTGCGTCGCCCCCGCCGGGCCTTGCTCCCGCGGTCGGGCCGCTCGACTCCTGCCTTCGCCGGGTTCGTTCGCTGGTTCGATCGTTCGCTAGCTCGCGGCCGAGCCCTCAGTAAGCGCCTCGGGCGGGGAGACGAAGCTCCACGGGGCGGGGCGACGGCTCCTCCTCGGCCGCCATTGGGTATCCAGCCCACGCCCGCACGCTGATTGGTGGCGGCTGACAGCTCCGCCCCTCCCCTAATCAACACCGCGTGGCCCCGCCCTCCGCGACCTGGGGCGGGCGCAGGCACTCGACCTCTTCCCGTCATTGGTCCAACCGCGAGGACGCTCCGGCACCCACTCACGTGCCCGGTGACCGACTCAGCTCTCAATGGGTGCTGAGCACGTCCGTCTAAAGGGACTCAGCCAATCCGACAACGGCCGGGACTAGTGTAGCCCGGAGCGCAGTCAGATTGACAAGCGCGTTCTCAAGGACCCCGCTGAGAGAAGCGCGGATTGGTGTTCGGCACAGGCCTCTGGGCGCCTATTGGTTAGAACTGAATGTCAATCACTGTCTTGTTGCTCCAGATCCCGCCCCGTTATCAGGCGGTTGTTGAGTACGTGATGTCCTGCACAACATCGGCCGTGGGTCCGAGACGCCGTAGAGACAGCAGTTCGAGACCCGCTGGATCAAGACCCGGAGCCGGGATTTGAGCACAGCTTTGCAAGGGGCCGAACTAGGGTACAGGGGGTCCGCCATTCCCCTTAACGTGCGTGAGTTCTGCTGGGGCGTGTCTCTGGGGAAGTCACCTAACTGGGCCTCAGTACCCCCCATGAAGTGATAGCGGTGCCCACGGAAAACTTTGCAATAATTCAATGAAAGGCGTGGTGCTTTTTCTCTGTTTCACAGTCTTCCTCGGTCCTGCTCTCTCCAACTCAGTACGTTCCAAACTGGGGACCTGTGCACCAGATCCCAGCTACAGCTATGACTCTATGGACAGTTTCTTAAGGTTTGATAGTATACCCCATCAATATGTATCTATAGTTTTACATTTCTATTATTTTGTGTATATGTGCCCTGTTAGGGGGTCCCTTGGGAGCCGACTCTCCTGCCATCTGGGTACCAGGATCAAACTCAGCTTTGTCAGACTTGGTTGCAAGTCCCTTTACCCACTAAGCCTGCTTGCTGGTTCACCATCATTTCCTTTGTTCTTGATCAAACAAGGGTGAAGGTGTGCCCGTTTTATGGGACAGGACTAGAAATCCTCCGACTTTAACACCTATACCTGAAAGTACCCTCCTTGGAGCAAGTCCTTTGCTTCCCCTTTCCCCACCCCGACTCCCAGTCGGTCACTAACTCCAAGGTTATGCAGAAATTATTCCAAACTGGGTGGCTCTTGAACTATTTTTCCATGCTCCTCACTGTGCGATAACCGCAAGGGAAACAGCCATTGTAATGCCGTCACCACCACCCTGCCCGCACGCCAGGTCAGCATGTCTCTTCAGCCAAGAGATGGTGGCACGCTCCTCTAATCCCGGCACTGGGAGGCAGAGGCAGGTGGATCCTAAGTCTTCAGAGCAAGTTCCAGGACAGCCATGGCTACACAATGAAAACCCAACAAAGACCCTGTCTCAAACAAGCAGGTGAAACAGCTCAGTAAGCTTGCCATCTAGGACCTGTCTGATCCCAGTTCCCCAGGCGGTGAGGGGAGTGTCCTTTGTTCTGGTTTCCATAGATGGCACACATCTGCCTGCACAGGCACACACACAAACCAACTCAGCACAAAGGGAGAGAATCGTGTGCTCACCACCATATTTTCAAGGGCACATGACCTTTGTGGAGGACTACCATTAGTAATGGTTTGCTTTTAATGAGGAGTGGGGTTTTATTAGATTTGCTCTGCCCTCGGATTCCTACAACGTGGTATGGGCACTTGTCTGAGCTAGGGAGGCTGGCTCAGCAGTTAACATGGCAGCCTGCTCTTGCAGAGCCCAGAGAATTCGGACACCAGCACCTATGTCAAGAGGCTTGCGACCAGCTCCAGCAGATCCAACATCTGTAGCCTTCAAAGGCACCCACTCATACGTTCAAATAATCTTTTACATGGCGGCCCATGCCCCTCAGTTGTAGCGCTGGGGAAGTAGAGGGAGGTAGGCCCGAGTTCCAGGTCAGTCTCGAGGGCTCACACTAAGGATGGAACAACTGTGGTTTCCGAAACAGGATTCCTCTATGCAGCCCTGGCTGTCCTGGAACTAGCGCTGTCAATCACGCTGGTCTCAAACTCAGACCTGCCTGCACCACCATGACCGAGTATCACTTTGTAGCCCAGGCTAATCCTGCAGTCACGATCTTCATGTCTCAGTCACACAAACACAGGCTAAGAGGCATACCGCAACACACCCAGCTCCGCCCCACGTTCCTTAAAAATAAGGTCATGTTGGTGAGGGCTGTGTGGATCAAGGTACTTTTGGCCAAGCCCAACAACCCAATTTCCATCCTCAAGTCCCATATGGTGAAATGACTTCAATTTTTAAAATTTTTTTTTAGACTTATGTGTATGGTGTTTTGCCTGTACGTTGCGTGGAGTTACCTGCAGAGGCCAGAAGAGAGCAGCACATGCTTGGGAACTGACATTACAAAGCAGGTTGTTGCATCACCATGTGAGTGCTGGGAATCAAACCCAAGTCCTCTGCAAGAGCAGCCAGTGCTCTGACCTCTCCTGATGTGGGAGTGTAATATATCAATCTGTTGATTTCATTGGTTAAGTTATAATAAACCAGCTGCTTGGCCTCATGGCTTGGAACATAGATGGGAGGAGTAAACAGAATAGAATTCTGGGCGGAAGAGGAAGTGAGGTCAGACTCTGCTCTGCTTCCGGAGACAGACCCGACAGCTCTGCTGGAGCAGAGACGCCATGCTCAGCTCTCCCAGGCAACTCCAACCCACAATGGACTTAGGCTAGAATCTTCCCGGTAAGCGCACCTTGGCGTGCTTACAAACATTATTAGAAATGGGCTAGTCCAGGGGCGAGAATTAGCCTGTAAGGGTTAGAGTTCATGGGCCAAGCAGTTCTTAAATGAATACAGTTTGTGTGTTGTTATTTCGGGCATAAGCTAGCCAAGCGGCTGGGGTGTTGGGGACGCAGCCCCGCCGCTTCCTATTTCAACAGATGGCGCCCAACGTGGGGCTCGAACCCACGACCCTGAGATTAAGAGTCTCATGCTCTACCGACTGAGCTAGCCGGGCGGCCGGGGTGTTGGGGACGCAGCCCCGCCGCTTCCTATTTCAACACTCTCCAATCCCACGTGTAATTTTTTTTAAAAAAGCAGACATCCTTGGCTTGAGACCAGCAGCTGAGGCTCCCCCCTCAACCATTCTGAGCAACCTACTGTGCCCCCCACACACCATGCTCACCCACACACCCATGACTCCACAGGAGCCCAGACCCTTCTGCAGCTTACAGTGCCTGTGCCAAATGCAGGCACACCAGCCCCACCAGCAGCCAGCGAAGCCCTCCCACATTCCAACCCTCAGGGCCAAAGCCTCTGCTCTCACAAGTTAGCACTGCCTTTTCCCTGTACATCGTCAACATCTAGTTTTCTATAAACCTGTGGGGTCATCTGTACAACGGAAGAACCTTCCAGAATAGGTGCCAGCAAACTGCTCTCTGCTTTCAGGACTATGGAGTTTCTGTCTGACTGCAGCAAGAGCAGCAACGGGGATGAGTGAACGGCTGTCCATACAACTTTATCTGCACAACCAAGCTGTGCCCTGGACACGAGTGCCCTGATGCCCATTGTCTCATCAGCCTCTCTTCTCGTTTTCATGACAGCACCACAAAGCAGTTCAAAAACAAGCAAACACAAATATTCAAATCTGCAGAAAAAAATTTAATTGAGATCTAAAATCTGAACAAAAAAATTGAACTTCAGAAAATATTCACATGGACACATGGAATTCTGTTTTCTTCCCTAACATGTTAACAACCTAACAAAACAAACAAAACAAAACAAAACAAAACCCCACGAAACACAAAAAGTGACCCTTAAAACAGTGCTATCCGGTCTGCCTGCAGTTACGTTACGTGTTCAGTTCCCATGCTCTACTGAGGTATGGCCTGCACACTTTGGCAAAGTTACCAGTTACAAAAGAAAACAAAAACCAACCATGCAATCACAGTCTTCTTCAGTACAGGCTGTAACTAAAGAAATTCATCAAGGAAACCATTCATCCCCTTAGAAAAATAAAGAAACCCTCATAATTTTCAGTTGCCGAGTTAAAAACAAGATGAGAACTGGTCGCTACACCTCAAGCCTCCACAAAACCCAGCCAGCGAGTACCCAGCGGCCAGGCTTCCAAGATGGGCATTGGACAGTTCAGTGCTGATAGCAGTGGAAGGGGCGGTGAGCCGAGGGCGCATGGTCAGCTTCGCCTCAGCCGGTGACCGGCCCTGAGGTCACAGCCAAGTCCCGCTGGAGGAGTGTCAGCTAGGCCCCAGAGGCACCCGTGAGGATGGCAACACCAGGGCTGAGGCTGGCCCAGGGTCCCCTTCAGGTCTTCTGTGAAGGCCTAAGGCATGGCTGCCAGGGAGATATACCTGGTCTTTTCAAAGATGGTTGCAGAGTTGTTCTAGGCAGCTGCTCTCAAGGTGAGAACTGACAACATGGCACTGAGGTTGGTGCGGGCTCAACAGTTTCCAAATCCATCTCCAAAAAAGAAAAAGAAAAGGCAGGGTTCTTTTTCCCTTCTCTTGGAGACTTACAGACGTTGTATGTGTGTATATATATATATATATATGTATGTATGTATACATACATATATATATATACATATATATATATAAGAAAGAGAGAAGAAAAAAAGAAACGAAAGACAGACGTCCAAGTGGTAGCCAGAATACAGTATTCCTGGTTAACTGGCGATCAAGGCAGACGGGTCACCAGGGGCAGATGTGGAAGGACAACACCTTCAAGCTAAGCCCACTAAGAACTCGAAGCAGGATCGAGGGCCCCCCCGCCTGGTTCGCGGCATCACCGGCCGCTGCCGTAGCCAGGGAAGAGCTGGTTGAGAATGGTCTGCAAAGGCTGATTCACCCGGGTTGGGGAGCTGTGGTCCAGATCACAGCGACAGGCTGGGCAGCTGTACACCTCGGCCCGGAAGGACCTGTCCAGGCAGTCCTGCATGAGACATAGGCAGGGTGAAGGGCGCAACTGGGAGCAGCCACGCAGGCACTGGGGCTCCCTTCTGACCCTCGTGCCCACTCAGGACTCTGAGCTCCTTCCTGGTAGTCCCTGGCACTGTCCTAGAGGGGGTTAGTGTATGGGAGCCTGGGTCTCTCTAAAGAATAAGGCTGAGGGAACAGCCATGACACCCCAAGAGTGCAGGCAGTGGTCCAGGCACCCGCTTTCTCACCTTGCAGACATTGTGCAGACACACGGTGGTGACAGGCCGGAACACCAGCTCCTGGCAGCAGATGCACTGGAAAGCCTCGTTCACCTTGCTCAGAAAGACCTGGTACTGCAGAGCGGGCATGGGAGGGCACACTTCCATCACCTCATCCCAACACAAGACAGAAACCCCAGCCCCATTTGCGCCTCAGCAACACTGAGGACACTGTGGTACAAGGCAGAAGGCCTCAGACAGTACAGGGTGGTGGTCCTGTGCAGCCGACCCAGCCCAGACCTGAACTTTCCGCACTGAAGGCACAAACAAGGCCTGCACTGACTGTCTCAGTGTGGGACATGGGAAGTTCCAGAGGCAGCTGCACACCCACGGAACAGGCTAGTGAGGCCATATTGGAGTGCTGCTGCAGGCTAGGACATGGACTCTGACCCTGTGTGCCCACAGGATGGGTCCCCGTGGCTCACCGGCCCATCCTGAAGTGAACTCAGCACGTCATCCCACAGCTTGGCATTGCTCTTGTCCTCCTTGATGAGGTTGGCCTGTTCGACAGGGAGCGTGAAGGGCTCCAGTTTGCTCTTCTTGGGTATACGTGTATTAGTGGCCTGGCCTGGGGGGCGGGGACACAGAACAAGATCTGTGAGAAGCTAATGAACACTTCAGACATGTGGGATAGACGGGAAGTCGGGATGGACAGGCACCCACCTGTGGGCTTCCGCTTGGCTGAGCCCGTCTTAGAGGGTGATTCCTTCTCCAAGGCCTTGGCTCGGCACTTCTTACTCTTCTCTTTGCTAGCCAAGGCCTCCAAGTAGCCTTCGGGGTACTGAAGGGAGAGAGGTTGTGGGCAAAAGTCAGCACCCAGCCCATCCTTCAGAGCCACCGTGTCATCACCTAGCAAGCTCTTGGGTACCTGAGGGCATTACTGGACAAGCATGAGGGCCAGGTGTGGCAGGGCTGGGATCTTCCCCACACAGGCCCCCTATAAGCAAGCCAGGGCTATGTGGGGAAGATCCCTACCTAAAACAAGAGCCAGGGGTGACAGCACACTCCTGTCACCCTGCACTAGAGGTCAAGAGAGGGTTAGGAGGTCAAAAGTCATCCTGGGCTATGTAGCAACTTCAAGGCTAGCCTGGGCTACATGAAGCCAGGTACGGTGGCACCCCATCTGTGACCCAGCATCCAGGAAACTGAGGCAGGACTGTTGAGTTACAGGCAAGCCATAAGAGAGTGAGATCTTCAAAAACCACAGAAAAACTAAGCCTATCAGCCCTACCACTGACCCTGTCCCAGCCCTTCAGCCCACTTCGAGCACTTGCGTGCGTGAAAACATGCACACGCTTCTGCACATCCTGCTGTACCATCAGTGCAGCCCCCAACACCTGGGGACAGATGCCATCATGTCCCGTGGGTCACTAAGATTCCTTAAATAGTCCTCAACAGGATACAAGCATGTCTAGAGCCCCAGGGCAAACACCCCACCACATGGATATGAAATGATCCGGCTACAAAGAGGGGAGGCAGCTGCAGGGGATTCGCATCTTTACCTGCCCACCCCCACTGCCTATTTTCTATCAGTTCTGGTAGCTTCTTTCTGCTGATGCTGGAGGGGCCATGGGTCAGAGGTTGGAGGGGCAGAAGCAACGTTAGCTACAGGTATGGCTGGTTGGATGTGTCACTTGTGTGCCCTCAGCCACTCATAACCTCAACGTTTCTACATTTATTTTTCAGTGTATAGTGTACTGCCTCCGAGTGTCTGCGCCAGGTGTGTGCAGTGCCTGCAGAGGCAGACAGGCTCCGGGACTGGAGTTACATATGCTGGAAGTGTGTACAGAGGACTGGAGGTGTGTGTGTGTGTGTGTGTGTGTGTGTGTGTGTGTGTGTGTGTGTGTGCGCGTGTGTACACACGCAGTACCTGTGGAGATGGGACTGTTGTTACACATGCTGAGTCACCATGTGGGTGCTAGGTATCAAACTGGGGTCCTCTGCAAGAGCAGCCTGTGATATTAACTGAGCCATCTCCGTCCCCATAAGAGTTTGAGGCAGGATCTCACATAGGCCAGGCTGGCCTTGAACCCCTGATCCTGATTATGTTTGGCTGGGACAGAACACATCTTTGTATAGAAGAATGCTCTACCCACGGTGCTGCAGAACTAGCCCTGGTTTTGTTCAGAGGGTCTTGCTATGCAACCCAGGCTGGTCTCAGCCTTCTGAGGACCTACTGGTAGTTGGTTTGGAGGAGAGAGGGACCCTGGGAAGTCTGGGGCCTGGAAGCAGAATGGAAGTAGAACAGGTGTCCCCACTGCTAACACCCATCATGACGGGCAACGAGCTCCACAGAAAACAAGCCTCAGAGAGGGAGAGCTGGAGCCTCTGACCTCCAGGCCACACACCTGCATAGTGAGCCCCAGCTGCCGCATGCGGTCCTTGCCCTCCCGGGTCCAGGGCCCAGGCTCCGTGTCATCCCGTCGCAGGAGGTAGCGCCACACGAGGAAGCCAGATTTACCCTTTTCTGGCCAGTACTTCACCACCTGTGGAAAGAACAGCGTAGCTGGTGTAGTGTGGCGTAGGAAGCTCAGGGACACGGGCAGGACACAGGCAGGCGCTCACAACCCACCTTGTAGATGCCATCGTAGCGGTTGCCCTCTGCAGGCGCGTACTTGCTGTGTTTCCCACCCTTCATGTTGCGGACGACACGCACTGGCTTCCCCTGGCGCCAGTCCTTGGCCTCTGCCCCATTCTCACTGATTTTGGAGTTGCAGTTTAGCGCCAGAGCCCTTTGGGGAACACAACACAAAGGAAGTCACACCCTGACACCCACAGATACAGACCTCGTCACCATAGGACACCAGGACAAGATCACTGGCATTGGCCAGAAGCTGCCGGAGGCTGCTGTCTGATCTAACCGTCCCCACAAGACACGCAGGTTTCCCAGAGGCTAGAGAGCAGGTGTTCTTGCAGAGCTCCCAGTGTGATTCCCAGCACCTACATGGTGGTCCCGACTCTCACTGACTCCAGACCCATGGGATCCAGCGCCCTCTCCTGGCCTCCGTGGGCACTGCACCCAAGTAGCGCATAGGCTTGCAGGCAACACACTCACTCATACACATGAAATAATTCTTTAAATATCTCCCAGAAGTCCCTGTGTTGAGGGCAGAACTACAGGAAGTGTAAGTTTTAAGGCACAGGGCCTGGCAGCATCGCAGATGCTAGAGAATAGGACTGTAGGACTCCAGTGTCCTCTCCATTCTCCTGCCCTGCCCAAGTGCCACATGCGGCTGCCTTCTGTTGCCCCCCAGTGGGAGCCTCAAGACAAAGGCTCAACCAAGCACAGCACAACCCAGATGCACAGGCCAGGAAACCTTGCCCCTAAGCTAATAGTCTCAGGACTTGTTACAGTAACAAAAGCTGTCCTGTCTATAAACTAGGGGGAAGGGGATTGTTTGTTTTTGTTTTTTAAGACAGGGTTTCTCTATGTAACAGCCCTGGCTGTCCTGGAACTAGCTCTTGTAGACCAGGCTGACCTCAAACTCAAAGATCCACCTGTCTCTGCCTCTGCTGAGATTAAAGGCACCACCACCCAGGGGTTTATTACTTCAATAGAAACCTTCCTTGTAGGCTCACATTTTCAGGATTTGTTACAGTAACAAAACCTTTCCCTCTAAACCACTGAGCTGGATGTTCTGATACAACAACCCTTTGCTGAGCTGAGCTACACCCTGGCTGTGCAGCAGAGCAGAATGCAGGACCCTGCCAGGGATGCCACCTCCATACTGAGACGGCAGTGATACCCCTGGCTGGGATTGTGGCCACGACAGAGGTCCATCATGAGGCAAACCTGTGCCCCATCACCTGCTGCCATGAGAGGCATGTGGGCCCCCACCCTCCACAGGATGCCAAGCTTCCACACACCTGTTGGTGTTGGTAAGCTTCTGGTCAGAGGACTGTCCTGCCGTACGCTTGTTGCCTGAGAGGTCCCGGCCACCGCTTCCTGTGTATGTGAAGGAATTGCCGTTGTCCTGCAATGGGGAAGAAGGGCTGCGTGAGCCCTTGGCATAGAGGGTAAGCCCTGCCCGAATCAATGAGGACAAGAGGTGTGGACCCAGAGGAGATAGTGAGTGTTTGGCAGGGGTGAAGAGTGAGGGCCAGTGGCACACAGCAAGCCCAGAAGACACGAGGCACCGTAACAGAAAGAGACCAAGTTTTGTCTTTGAAATGCCACTACGACCTGTTCCCACACAAAGGGTCCTTGAAGGCAATGAGCAGTGACATGAGCCAGACACAGGACAGATGCCACAGGGCCCCATGTCCTGAAACCCTGGGAGGACAGCATGTGCTGGAGAAAAGGCCGAGACACTGGTGGTCAAGTGTCTTGGGACAGAGGCTCAGTGGGAGGAAGATGCAAAGTTCTAGCGGCAGATGGCAGAGAGAAGTACCTGACACCATCGCCATGCTGCTGTGCTTGGGTGCTTCCTAGGCCAAGAAGGGTCAGGCCGCCCTCCACCAGCGGGTGCGGAATGTTCGCCGCACCCTGTAATTTCCCACCTTCCCTTCTAATTAAGCAGCCATCACTCCCCACAAGAGAACCTGGAACAAGAAGCCAGCCCAGCTCCTGTTGCCCTCACCACACTAAGGCATCCTCAGAGTTGATTTTTCTTTCCTTATAAAATTGAAAGACTTATTTTTGTGCTATAGGCAACAGCTCATGACATCTTCTCCAGCAGAAATGAGCCACAGTTACCACTCTTAGGTCGACAAGAGTGACCACAACAAACTGACAGCACGACCTGGCAACTCTGGCCAGCACTGAGGGCAGGCCCCAGTGGGAGACTGGACAGGACAGAGAGGGTGCAACTCCTGAGGGACCAGTCATGGTGGATGGCGTGGGAGAGCCCGAGTGGGAGGCCATGGGGGTGGGGATGGGGATGAAGGAGGCGCAGTCTCACCACATCATCCTCGTAGCCTCCAGCCAGCACCAATGAGTAAGCACCATCATTACTCCGCCCATGGATGCCCGCCACGTGCGGCCGATGCACACCAGACTCACTGACCTGTGAACATGGCCAAAGACCCATTCCATCTCTTGGGAACTGTGACCCTGTCCAGACCCCAGGATGACAGTCCCTGACAAGAACACACCAGCCCAATGGCTGAGTCCAGCTACCATAAAAGAGCTGGCCGTGATAGGGATAAAAGATTGTGCTGCAACCCGGCACCCTCCTCCAAGCAGGCAACCTCCTGAACCCCACTCAGTAGCATTTCCTGCCCCTAGCCACATATGGGATACAAACTCCAAAGATAAATGTCTGGAACCCCGTGACATCAGCAGATACCTGGACTCTGAAGCGCCACATGGTGCCCACAGGGACGCCAGGGATGGGCCCGAAGTGGTTGGCGGGCACGATGGTACATTCTCTGGTGCGGCCCACACAGGCCATGCCCTTGCCCCAGTCCCGACGGGAGGATGACGTGGCTGATGCCATCTTCGCCTTCTTCTTGCTTTGCTTCAGCTTCTCGCCTGCTTGCACCACCTCGCTGGAGTCGGTCCGGCAGCTGGGGCAGTACCTGGGACAAGAATGCCACCTGTATATGACCTGATACCCAAGCGCAAAAGACAGATGGAGTCCTTCCTCCTGGGGACACAGCCCACTGGCTGTCCAGAGATAAGGTCCCTAGAGCTGAATCAAATCGGAAACTCAGGTTCCCAGGCAGCAGTGAACATGCTCCAGCATCTGCAGCTACGGGCAGCTGGAGGCACAGAGTCAAACTCCAGGCTGGACCATCCCTACAGAATGCCTGCCAATGTTCTATAGGACATGGGTTTCCTCAACCTTCTGCTAAAAGCCCTGCCTGAGAAGACCAGTGAAATAATCAGTGGGTAGAGGCTTGCCACCAAGCCTCAGGACTTGCATTTAATCCCCCGGGCCTACATAGTAGAGAGAACTGACTCCCAAGAGTTGTATCCTAATCGCCACACATACAAAAATAAAACTAACAAAGTTATTTCAAGAACCCCCCCAGAGAGGACACCTTTCCCAGGGAGGCAGAAGCAGGTGGATCTCTGTGAGTTCCAGGTCAGCCTGATCTACAGAGAGAGTTCCAGGACAGCCAAGGCTACTCAGTGAGACCTTGTCTCGAGAAAATCAAATCAAAACAAGAACAATGAAAAGCAAATCACAATGCTGAGTAAGGGAGCGGGCACGAGTCACCTGATAGCGCTCACCTCCCCTGCTGCCAGAGCCTTGGGTGTCCTGACCTGCAGGCTCAGGCAGCCACACCAGTGCCAGGAAATCAAGTCCTCAAGTGCAGTCAGAGTGAGGTACACAAGCTAGTCCCTCGACGCTAGGCACTAGCACAGTGCTCTCTCCTAAGCCTGCAGCCAAGCTGGCAGGCAGCAGGCCCCAGGACCCTCCTTTCACTGCTTCCCCAGCACCGAGCTCTCACACTTAACAGCCACACTCAGCATTTGATTCAAGCTCTGGGATTTACATTCAGGAAAGTGGAACCACATAATAGGCTAAGAGCCACTTCCTGGCCTGTCTTAAGTTCCCTTCTGGGCAGTCCAGGGGGCCCCAGAAGTCTGCCACTCACCACTCAGGCTCAGGGGGGACGCAAGTAAGCGGTGGCTGCAGGCAGTACAGGTGGAAGGCCATGTCACACTCGTCACACAGCACCTGCTTCTCAGGAGCCTCACGCCCACCGCAAACATGGCAGGCACACTTGCGACACAGTTTGTTCTCGTCGTCCTTGCAGTACTGGCAGGACGGGCCGCTCTTCCCTGTTTTCCGGAGCGGAGGAGGGGCTGCAGCAGGCCACCATGCCACCTGGTCTGCCACCCCCCACCCAGGCGTGCTCAGGGCCCGACCAGTACTCACGCTGCGAGGGGTTCCCAATCAAGGGGCTCCTCTCATTAGGGAGCTCAATCTTAAAGACTTCATCCACGAACATGAGCCGGCAGTTGTTGAGCTGAGAATCGTTTCTGCAGAACATCCCCAAACATTAGAGCACTGTGGGGCTGAGCCTGTCTGAAGACAGGCTTTCAGATCTACTCCCCATTGGTTTCTGCATGTGTGTTTCTGTAATGTGGGCACTCCTAGGCCACACACAGGTCAGAGCACCCTCACTGTCCATCCTCCACATTTGCCTACACATGTCACGTGTCGGGCTAGCTGGCCCAGGACATCCAGGAATTCCCATGTCCCTACAGCACTGCTGGCTAGCAATACAGACAGGCACTACTATACAGACAGGCTGTATGTGGCTTCTGGAGATGTTTACATAGCACTGAAACGAGAGTTTGAAGAGAATGAGATCTGGTGCCCTAAATGAAGAAAACGCCCTTGGCCCCTTGGAGGTTCCCAGGCACTCAGAGCACCAGGCCTCCTAGAACCACTCAGGCCCACACCATCCTGTATGTATGGGACACCCTCCTGTATGGGATACCTCCTGTATGGGACAACATGAACATACATAAAGAAGCCTCTGAAAAGCCGAGTCTGAGGGCTGCGGAGCTAGCTGTGTCTAGGGACGGCCGGTGTGAGGATAAGGGAGGACAGCTGGGTCCCTGTCCAAGCAGGCCACTCACAAGAGCATGACGTTGCCATACAGCTCCCGCGCCGTCCTGGTCTGCCGCTTCCTACAGATCTCGACGTCATACCAGAAGCCGCGCTTCCTGGGGTAGTCCACATTGTAGTTGGCCATTACCACCTGGCCCACTTCCAGGTCCTCCCACGGGATCACAGTGCGGGCACGGGCACGGACATCCTTGGCTTTGACAACCTCCACTCCACTCTCTGGGTAGCTGCAAGCAAAGGCCCAAACTCAGATACCCAAGGCTACCACATGCTGTCCCTAAACAGGCCCAGAAGTGGGAGCATGGGGAGCCATATTCTGGGTGACCCTGGCCATCTAAGCTGGTGGGCCAGGTATGCGGAACATGTAGACAAATGCGCCTCACAAAATGACTTGATCCCCATCCCAGCAACCAGGGAGACGGCAATTTTACTGTAAAGAAGGCTCTTTTCAGTGAGGTAGGCCTGAAGGAGGAGGAACAGCTCTGGACTCTCAGAAGAGAAGTGAGGTGGCCATGCGCCCAGGACCGCCAAGTCAAGGCAGCTTGGGAGGGTTGACCTGGGGACCAGACTGGGAAGCTATGGGTAGGGAAAGTGAGTTTTTCTCCACACACACGTATAGAGCGTAAACATGGATGTGTGTGGAGGCGTATAGACTAAGATACCACAGTGCCCCAGAAGTGACTATTCCACACAGAGCGCTCTCCAGGCAGCCGTGAGCGACATTCACTTTCAGGTCCATCACAGAACTCAGCTCAGCAATCATCTTCCACAGAGGATTTCCACACTAAATGGCTGTTTCAATAAAGTCAATATTTGACTAAATGGCTTGTCAACAACAAGCTGGGCCCACAAATGATCCCAGAGCTAGAACATGGAAATCTCGACAAGACCTCAGTTTATACACTGGGATCTCACTATCCACTGTCTTAGGAACCATCCAAAACCATGAACAGAAATGACAGCACCTCTCCGCTAGTGAAGGGCTGACACCAGAAACCCAGCATGACCAGAAGGAAGCCAAATAGCAAAGAGCAAGTGCATCCTCCACCTACAGGATGCTGGCCTTACAAAGCTCTGCGGCCTCCCCAGGCCAGGAGGGCCCCCAGACCCAAGGAAAAAGATGTATACGGCTTAGCTGTTTGCCTGAGCTCTCTTGGCACCACTCACGTCATCAGGTGGAACCTGGACCCAAGATGCCCTGTTGGTCCAGGGACTGAGACCAAAGATCCTCCTGAGAAGGCTGGGACCAAAGACACTCTAAAGAGATCCTCATGTCCTCACACACTGAACAAAAACTGGTCAAGGCAGAGCAGCTCACGGCTGGGATCCTAGGGTTAGAGGCCCTTCGTCTAGTCTCGAATGGAAACAGGGGGCCAAGGATGAGCCTTCCGTGGCTTCCCCAACCTCGTCCCCTGGCAGCAGTCACTCAGGGAATGCAAGACAGGGGCTCTGGACAGCGCTGGAGACAGGACCAAGCTGGCGATGGCACTCACTCATCATATTTGATATGGTACATGATGTCATCCTCCGGAGTCATGCTGGTACTGGAGCTGCAAGGCTCTTCCTGGGATGGGGCTCTCTTCTGCACCTGGACCACCTGGGCCTCAAACCATGCACCCAAGGTGTTGTCACGCACGTCCACGTACTCATCAACCTACAGGAAGCAAGGAGGCTCAGGGACCGGGCAGCAGGGCAGGACCAGGGTCGAGGATTTGGGTAGTGGGGTGAGAATTACAGGGCCACACACCAGGCAAGTGTGTCTGCACCCAGTTATGCCTAAAGGTCTCACTCTCTATTCCAGGTTAGCCCCACAAGCACAAGGGTGCTGCCTCAGCCCCCAGAGCACAGGGATGGCGAGTGTGGGTCGCCACGCTCCACCTGGGAGTAAGCCTCAGCGCTGTGGACAGCGGATGGCACTAGACAATTCTGAACAGAACTCAGTTAACAACGCCCTCTGCTGCCAGAAACTTCTGCTCTGATGGCTCCAACTATCTCAGAGGTTTGATGACAGACAGCAAACAAACAGGGACCACGCGCGGTCCTCAGGCTCCAGGTGCTGAGCCACATCCCAAGCCTCCACACTCCAGACCAGGATCTCCCATGTAACTCCGGGTCCTGGATAAGAAGCTGTGCCTACACAGGTCAAACCCAACAGGTGGTGTAAGAGCGATGTGCTCAGAGAGCAGATGGCCCTCATGGGGGACTGCTTAGCCTCAAACACAGGCTGGGATTCCCACGGAGGCTCAACCTCCAGTTTGTCAAATGCATTTCAATCTTGATGCAACTCACTGGAGAGAGTTCAAAATGTCAGCTCCTATGCCAGCTGTAGAGGTGAGACCTACAGTACTGCCTATAGTGGGTCACCAAAGAGTCCCAAGAGACCTGTGTGGCTGTCAGTGTAGTAAGGGGCAGGGAGGCTGAGACACTGCTAGGGTTGGCAGTGTACAAATCTGGGTTGAGGGCAAATGCAGAAAGCCACTGTCACACGTCCACACAGCCACCTCACCTTGTACAGCCCCAGTTCTGTGTCCTCCCACACAGTCTTGTCATCCCCTTCAGCAGCCCCTTCGCCATGCGTGGACGACTTGTCGGACTCGCTCTGACCCACACCATAGCCAGAGTCAGAGTCTGAGAGCTCCGAATCCCGTTCCTTCGAACTGGAAGGCAGTGCCAGACTCTGGCGCACCAGCAGCTGGATTGTGTCATTGAGGCGCACGTCATAATCAAAGAGTGTGTGGCCGTCCTCCATCTGTGGGGAAACCCAAAACAGATTGTCTTCTCTGAAGGCCTGGCACAGGGCGGGTAGATGGGAATACATGGCCAGCTGAAGCCCTGTCCCAGGACAAGGCAGGCACACATAGAGGACCGGCAGTACCCAGACAGCCATGGGCATAGGCAGCACAGCCCTTCCACGCTGTGGATGTCTATGGGTCCTCCTTCCAGGGAGACCTGCTGAACTAATGCTGAGCGGGGTCTCACGTAGCCCAAGCTCATCTCAAACTCCTGGTCCTCCTTCCAGCACCTCCCAAAGGCTGGGAAGGCAGGCAGAAGGGCCATTAAGCCAGTTACGTATTGCTGGGTAGTATTGCCGGGGAGAGCGCTCCTGGCATTGAGGTAGGTACACTGACCAGCACATTGTAGGGACCGAGAAGCTCACAAGGACAGACTGTGAAACCCATGTCCCATTGTGTCCAGGGGCAACCAGACGGGACCCACAGCAGTCCCCAGAATCCTTTCTAAGGCTTTCCACCAATCTCCCCCGACTGCTCAGAGTCATTCATGGCTCGGCAGTATTCCCTAAAATGTCATCTCTCACCATGGACTCCTTCCCCACTGTGGGCCAGAGGCACCTCCCCTGTGACAGTCACATCCACTGGGAGGGGCTCCCTTAGGGATGGAGTCACCTAGTGCCTTAAAAATGGAAGGGGAGGTTAGCCAGACGGTGGCAGCTCACACCTTTAATCCCAGCACTGGGAGGCAGACGCAGGTGGATCTCTGTGAGTTTGAGGCCAGCCTGGTCTACAGAATGAGTTCCAGGACAGGCTCCAAAGCTACACAGAGAAACCCCCTCTCAGAAAAAGTAAAAAAAAGAATGGGGGTTTAGTCCCTTCCAGGGACCTATTGTCATGCAAAGAGCTCTTGGGGTTGCTTTGAATTGGAGTCCCCAGATCCCTGGGGACTAACAGGGAGGGTAGGCCCAGTGACCTACTATGATAACTGAGAATAGGCTGGGACAGGACTGTGGGAACAGGAATGAGACACCTAGAGAACAAACTCTGCGTCTGAGATGGAGGCACCATACAAAATGCCTTCTCTTTAGAACTCTGTGCATGCAGCCAGCAACAGGGCTCCCGGGAACAAGGAGGACACCATGGGAAGAGGTAGGAATCTACGGGAACAGGACCCCACGGGAACACGGGAGACTCCGCGGGAACAGGGACAACTCCGCGGGAACAGGGGATTCCGCGGAAATAGGGGGGACTCCATGGGAATGGAGGGGCTCCGTGGAACAGGTGAGACCCCCTCGGGGAAAGGGACAACTCCGCAGGAACGGGGGAGGGGGGACTCCGGGGAACAGGTGGGACTCGCGGGAAAGGAATTCTGCGGGAAAAGGAACTCCGCGGGAAAAGGAACTCCACGGGAAAGGAACTCCGCATGCAGGAGGGGACTCTGAAATAGACAGCTTGGGTGATCAGCAGTCCATGACTGCTCTGAGCACATGCTTACATTGAGGCCAGCACCCACAGGTCACCATGTCACCCAACACAGGGACTTCTGTACCACAGGCCACACTTGGGGATCCCGAGAAAAGGGGCCCAGTCTAGAAAGTCCTTCCACAAATGGACAAGCACTGCCACATGCCATCCACAGAATGCAACGCTGTTCAGGCATCAACAGGACCACAGCTCAGGAAGCAACTGAGGCCACCTGACATCCATGTGCACGTAATGCATTTATGCCGCACACAGACACATGCACATGCCCAAAGCAAATACAAAGCAAACCCAGGGGCTGGTGGTCAGCGCTGGGACAGCCAGGAGGCAGGGTGAGGAGGGTGGGTAACCAGACCATACAACCCCCCAGGCCTGTTATCTAGGAACCCACCAGGCTGCCCCACCATGGTCACAGCCCCCACTCAACAAGCAGGACAGGATATGGCTGGGCCTGGCTGGGCAGACTCACCCAGCAACTCCTAACTCACAAGGCCGGTTGGGCAGCTTCTGACTGCTGTTTCAGGAACTATCAGGCCAGTAGAAGCCTGCACTGGCACGTGACCAGGGCAAGGGGTGGAAGTAGTGCCCCCAACTCATATCCCACTTGAGTGAGGTCACCCTTGGGGCCATCTGTCACAGGTGACAGGACACTCCAAGAGCCTAAAGTCAAGGTCCAGCTCCCTCCCACTCAATGACCTCAACAGTAACTGAGTCCAGCACTGAGTCTCACACACCTCCTGTTAATTCTAAGACTGAAAATGAAACCCGGTAGGGGCTGAGTGTGCAGCGGTGTGCATAAGGCCCTGGGCCTCCATCCCCAGCACTACATAAACCAGCGCTCACACGTGCTGTCATCCCATTCCACGAGCAAACAAGTGCTTCAGGGTTATCCTTGGCTCCATAAATCTGACTGCAGCCTGGGCTGGCGAGATGGTCAGCACGTGAGGGAGCATTCACCCTGCGAGCCTGATGCTGAGTTCCTCCCACCCAGAGCCCACAGTGGAAGGGAAGATCCTCTGAACCCCACACACTAAAGCATATACACAACCAACCAACTAAAAAGTTCAACCAGTAACATTTTCCGACAAGGCAGCTGCTACCCTGCCTCAGCCTCCTGAATAATTAGGCAATGTTCAAGATGGCCCTGGTGGCTTTTGTCCACTCTTGGGAGGTCTGCTGTTGTGCCTCCAGCGAAGGGGGTAGGAGACTTGCCTTTACTTGGCTTGTCACATGATCCTGGATGGCGCCTTTCAAGTTAATCTTGCAAGGAAATGGCTCTGGGGCCACAGTCTGAGTTGGGCCTTGGTCCAACCACTTTGTTCACGACTTTTTTTTTTTTTTTTGAAGGAACAAGGCTTCACTTTGCCATGGCCCAGACTGACCCTGGACTTCACAGGTAGAGAGCACTGTGGGGAGGGAGCCAGGGGCTGGGGAAAGGCCGCTTCTATGGTGCTTGACGGCAACAGAAACCACGCAAGTAGGTCCTTCTTATGGAAGGTTCATGGTGCCCTGGCTTTCTCCTTATTTTTTTGTGGCCTGACTTCAAAGCTAAAAGGAGCAGGCTGGTGTCAGGGAGTTGGTGTGTGCTGGAATGACAGATTTGCTGGGTACTGGACTGGGTGGACTCCAGGCTTTGTGCATGCCGGGCAAGCGCCGGACCAACACTCTCAGCATGGCTGACCTCAATCACCCATGAAACCAGAGGATATGAAGAGAAAGAGAAGTATCCCAGAGGACTCCTGGTGATGTCTGGAGACTGAACGAACAGTGAGGACCTGGCCTGAGGACCCTTGGCTGATTTTTGGTTCCTCCATCACCGAGTTAGGACCTGCTGAACCCATAACACATCACTATATGCAGTGACAAGCAGCCAGCCATGCTTGCTATCGGGACATGAGAGTTAGCTGTCCCTGAACAGAGAGGAGCAAGGAAGTTAAGCGACGTTAAAGTCTGCACATGCTCGGCATATTTCCACGGGGGGTTTTAAGAAAACAATCCATCTACCAGACACATATCATGTTTCCCTGGCAGGGACAATGCCCAGCATCCCCTCCCACTTACCCACCACCCTGCTCAGAGATAAGGAGGGGCCAGCACACACCAACTCCCTGACACCAGCCTGCTCCTTTTAGCTTTGAAGTCAGGCCACAAGAAATAAGGAGAAAGCCAGGGCACCATGAACCTTCCATAAGAAGGACCTACTTGCGTGGTTTCTGTTGCCGTCAAGCACCATAGAAGCGGCCTTTCCCCAGCCCCTGGCTCCCTCCTCACAGCCTGCTGCAGCTGCCTCAGAAGCCACCACCTGCGGCAGCATGAAGGGAGCTAGGAAAAGGGATCAGGCAATAGCAGGGGTGCAGTTGGTCACCCTTGAGAGGCAGAGGCAGGTGGTTCTAAGTTCAGGGCCAGCCTAGGCTATGTGAAACCCTGAAACCCTGTCTCAGAACCTGACAATCATTTCCACCAGCTGAGGGTCCCAGGAGGAAGCGAGCCCAATGACTTGACAAAAGGCAGAGGTGCCAGCAGAAAGCCAAGGGGATAGTGTGGAATCTCTGCAGGGGTAAGGCTACTAAAGTTTGTCTTTCAGACCTGATGTACACTTGACCAACTATAGTTTCCAGGAGAGACACACCGCTAATCAGACATGGTTCCCACACACCACCCAGCTGCGCCAAGGAAACCCCATGACTGGGGGCGGGGAGGTACAGCCAAACTGCCATCACCAGGGCACAGCCAGTTAAAGAAATGAACCTGGACACCAGAGGGCGGCAGTGCCCTGCCCAGCCACAAAGGCGGTACAGGTTGTGAAAATAGGGACTTCAGATCTACTTAAGACCCTTCGCCACTGGCTGCAATGCACCCAACTCCAAACAGACCCCTGCAGGCACGTACCCTACACCAGAGATCCCAATGCTGGCACATGCTACTCACAGCACCGCAAGATGCCAATTAAAAAAAAAAGGCCCAGCCAGGTGCCAATGATAACCATTCCCAATGCGGGCAGCTGGGCTATAAAGATGGCCATTTTGAAGGCCAGAGAGCTGGACAAAAAGGGGGCAGAGAGGTGCAACAACAAGGGGCTAACCACTACCCCTTTTCCCATAAGCCTAATCGAATGAAATTTCTAATTCGTGAGTGAAGTGGATCCATGGGAGGTTTAATGTCTCATGGGAGCAAGCTGTGGGCTATCACGATGGATTTCAAAAGGAAAATCTCTCACCACTAGTACGTGAAGACTGTTGGAGAAACTTTACTCTGTAACCCCCTGGAGCCCTCTGTTGGCCACTTAAGCTTTTTTCTCAAGAAAAATGATTTAGAAGACTTTAAAGGACAACTAAAAAGGTAGCAAGTCTTGCAGCAGAGACCAGCCTTTGTTCACCCTTCCCACAGCATCTGAAGCAACCGACAAGGGGGGGAGCACTCTTGCTTGGTGGCTTTGAGAGGCAGGGTGCCTGGGACAAAGCTCGGTGGGTGGATGGAAAGCTGGGGTGGCCACTTTACCTGTTTCCCCCTGTAAAAGAGTCTCTGCAGTTGGGGTTCCACGTGAAACATATCCGCAATCTTTTTTCTCAGCTCCTGCACTTTGGTCAACCTAGACAGGGAGTCCACGGTGCGGGTCTCCTTCCCATCCATGGTTCGGACCTGGATCCACATGGTGCCAATACACTGAAGGGATAGAGAGAAAAGGATGGGGACTCGTGTCAGTACGGCCGGCCTGCAGGCAGGAAGTGGGGGGTCCCTCGCCCCAGCAGCTTTCTTTACATCTGATTGAGCAAGAAGAAACTCCCAGGATCAATCTCCTGGCGTCCTGGCCCCTCTACTCGGCCAGACTGCGCCTTGGAAGACCAGGTGGTATAAATTAGGCGCTTAATATTTTAATGACCAGTGAGTGGGGACACTTGAGCATGGACCGCGAAAGATATACTGAGTAATCCAAGACAATCCACCATGTCTTCCAAGAGGGGGAAGCAAAAAAAAAAAAAAAAACCAGTAATACCCGTGGCGAAAGAAAGGCCTGCCTGGTCGCAGTTATTCATTCGTTCACCCATTCATTCATTCATTCATTCATTCCACAGTAACGGGAACTCGCCAACTTCGAAACGGACCAGAACTTCTCAAGTCCCGGGAGAGGGAACTCGGTCATAGAAGTCAGGACCCCCACCCCAGACACCACTCGGGACTCCCCCCGGAGTTCCGGGCCGGTGCCCCCCGCGCGCGTGCGCGGAGTAGGCCCCCCCGCCGTGGCCATGGCAACCGGCAGTCCCGGGCCGGTCACCCTCGCGCGCGCGCTCGTGACTAGAAACTCACCTGGGCCCCACGCGCGGCTGACTACCCTGACCAACTCCCGGGATACCAACCCTGGCCTCTTGGGACGGCGTTTTAAAGACCCCCGAGGCCCGAAGCCCACGCCCACACCCTCCGCTGCCGCCGGGGTCGGACCCCGGGAGCCGCGCCGTTTAAGTTCCGCCCTTCCAGAGAGCCCGCTGCTGATTGGCTCCTCCCGGGTTGTATGCCCCGCCCACCTCGCACACAATTGGCCGAAATGGACTCGGAGAAGCCAGGGCGCGCGAAACCCGACTCAGGCGCGACAATTGAATCGCGGGGAGCGTCCGCGCGCAGGCGCGGAGCCGCGTGTACTCCCCCGCTATACCCCACGCGTTTCCCGCGGACTCAGCGGCACCCGGGAGGGTCAAAAATCGGGTGCAGCATGAAGGACGCCCCTCAAGTCACCTCTCAACGGACAGAGAAGCACGCATGCGCAGTGGCTCTCTGCTGAGCCCAGAGCCACGCGCGGGAAAATTTTGCCAAGTTTTGGGGTGTAATCGTGTTTGCGGGGCCAGAGATGGGGATCCAACATGGAGGGGAATCCAACAGTTTGGATTCCCCTCACACGCGGTGCGGAAGCACGCGTGGGCGATGGCTCTCTGCAAATCTCATCCCACGCGCGGGAAAGTTTGCAAAGTCCCCTCCAACCCCTCCCCAACGTTGTGCGGCTAGCCAGGCAGGAGGTTCCGCGTGTAAGACTGGAAGACCTCGGATCCCCTGAAGTAAGCCCAGTGGCCACGCGTGAAAAGTACTCTGCAGTTTTGCGCTGCGCCCGGCCGTGCCACTGTGTGCGCACAGCCCGCTCTCCCACTCACCTCTCCCGCGGCTGCGATCCGGACTGTACTCAGGCCTGGAGTGCCTGCTCCTGGTTAGGGCTCTGGGGTTGGGTGACCGAGGAGGAAGCCGCGTGCGTGGCAGAGAACCTGAATGAGCCCGGGAGCGCGCGATCCTTCCAGCTGCTAGGAGTTTCTTTTTTTCCCGCGAAAACTCAGGGCGTTTTCAGAAGTGTCCAAAGGCTGCTGCGAGAAACTGCCACCCTAATGGGTTGAGGGGCGGGCTCTTGATTCCTGATTGGCTCGCGCTGTGGCGGGAAGCGAGAAAGACAGTGGGGGCGTCCCCACGACTGAGTATCTACCCCACCGCCGGCTCCGCCCAGCAGGCTGTGCCCAGTTTACCAAGAAGGCCCAGGTCCCCTGGCATGCTTAGGAATCCTCAGAGGGATTGCCCCCCTAGAGACACCCCTGACCTCAGTACATACCCTTTCGCCCTCGACTGGACACACTTTGATCTCTCAAATCTAAGACCCCAATTTTTGGCCGTATACCCCAGGAGAACTTGAGGGGTGCGTCCCCTCCAGACATCTTGCACCCCATATACTGAGCATCCCCAGGCGCCTTGAGTAACATCAGGGCGCTGCTAGTGGCTCCCCCACTCCATGCTACCCACCCGCAGGGCTTCTTTTCCGCCTGGTTTTTCCTGCGTTCTGCAAGCTGTCCAGGTAGGCAGCGCCTCCCTGCCCCCTCCGCCCAGGCCTGCTCCATTCTGACCATCCTTGGCAGGCACTGGGCATCTTCAGGAACTGATGAACAGAGAGACCAGAGCTGCGGGGTCCAAACCTTCGCTCCAGCATTTGGGGTCTCTAGCAAAGCAAGTTCTGGTTATGGTACCAAACAAGAAGAAAAACAATAAGTCTTAGAGGACAATTCCAAGTACAACCAGAAGCCATGAGGTCAGAAGTGACCAGCGGCCACGTGGGAGCTGGGACGGAGGCACTTCCGTCTGGGACCGGCAAGGACACATGGGGTGTGGAGAAGGCTTAGGGTAGGGGTGCCAGAGGAGGACCCGGGGCTGGGCAAAGAACAGGTTAGACCTCAGAGGCCCTGGGAAGGACTTTGTCCTTTCCTACTCTACCTTGGAGGTCCTTAACAGAAAGACTTCCAATTTTTGTTTAACTGTTTTTGTTTTTAGAAACAGGGTCTCACATAGCCCAAGCTAGCCTCCAACTTGCTCTGTAGTCAAAAATGACTTTAACTCCAGAGCCTCCACCTTCCTAATTCTGGGCTAACAGAGGTACACTTCCACACCTGGCACATCTTGTGGGGCTCATACAAGGTTGTCCCTCCAAAGATGTTTGAAGTGTCTCCCTGTGACCCCAACAGTATCCAGGCCCTCATCTCTAAGATCTGGGGAAAGGGCCTTCCCCAGTGAGGTAGGCTTTATATGTGTGGCAAGGGGTTTCCCATACCGCCTAGCCTGGGGGCACACACCTGGCACCCTAGCACTGGGAAAGTAGGGGCAGGAGGACCAGGGATTCAAAGTCATCTTCACTAACACAGCAAATCCCAAGCCAGTCTGGACTATATGAGACCCTGTCTCAAAAATGCAAACACTAAAATAATTAACATTAAAAACCAGGGCATACAAGGTGGCTTCAGCTGGTAGAGTACCTGCTGCCAAGCCGGATGACTTGAGTTCAATCACTGGACACGAATAGTGGAAGACACTGGTTTCCATGAGCTCCAGCCTTCACGTGCACGTGGCCACACACATATAAGTAAATAAATGAGTAAATAATTTAAATGTTTATTTAAATAATAAAACAGGGAGACATGATGTCACTGTCTACAAAAGCAATCACACAAGGCAAGTCAAGACAGACCACGGACAATGAACAGGATCTTCCCACGGAGCATCAGGACCTCTGGCTCGGGCCTCCGTGTCCTGAAACTCTCACTACGTGCCCCAGGCTGATCACAAATTTGGCAATCCTCCTGCCTCATAAGTGCTGGGATTAAAGGCATAAACCCCCAAGCCTTCTGGCTTATTTTACTTCAAACTTCACACAAAGTTGTCCAGGCAGCTTCTGGCTTTGGCATCCTAAGTTGATGTGGTGACAGACTGGAGGGTTTCTGTTTTCTATGCTGTCCTAGAAAGCAAGAGTCAGGACTGGGGAGCGATGGTCCCAGACACTGCAGCAGCAGGATCAGGAGTTCAAGGTCATCCTTGGACACAGAAAGAGCTCAAGGCCAGCCTAGGCTAGCAGAGAACCTGTCTTCCTTCCCAGAACTCTGGGTGTAGTGATGTCACAGAGGTCACCACAGCTGAGGAGCCCAGGGGGAGCTGGGTGGCACTCGGGGGAGGGGAAGGATGTGTCTCCCCCCGCCCAACCTCCCATGTCTGTGGTGAAGTCCATCGAGGTAGTGCTGCCCAAAGATACAGTCTACCTGGCCGGCTCGAACATAGACGGGCAGGTGGTCCTCACCCTCAACAGTACCCTTGTGGACCCTGTTGTGAAAGTAGAGCTCGTCGGTAGGGGTTACGTTGAATGGAATGAAGAAATTGGAGAGACCCGTGATTATAGCAGAGATGTTATTTGCAATAATAAGGCAGATTACGTACATAAAACAAAGACATTCCCAATAAAAGGTAAGGATGCAGCCAGCAGCTGGGGGCAGAAAGGCAAACACATCCGCTAGTCAATCGACAATCCCTTGGGAGTATCATGACATGGATTGGAGCTAGGTAGAGGGAAGTCATGTTAAATCATGACCATTGTGAAGATACGAAGATGTGGGAACCAATCAGGACAGAGACATCCAAAATGACCTCTTGGAAGGTAATATATTCAGTCCCACAAACGGCTGTGGGAGACCCTCTAAGAAATCATTCCTGTCAACTTTCATGAACATCTCCCTCTGGTACTAAGACTCAAGGAGACTCAGGAAAGGGGTCCTGAAGGTCACCTGGGAGGAGGGGAAGACAGCGCTCAGGACAAAGTCCTCAGTCCAGCCAATCCAGCTCTGACATATGTAATTATTATGGCTCAGACGGAAAGGTATCCTGGCAATCAGAAGCCAAGGAATACCACAAAGTCACACTGCACAACAAACCTCACATACGAGACTGTGAGGAAAGAAGGCAGGTTTATACAGAGTTTCTTGGAGCTTTCCAGGGTGGGGATTGGTAGGATTTCAAGTCCAGAGTTTAGGTTGTTTCACTCTGTAGGGCAGGGGCTGGGTACAGTCATTGGGGCAGTTGGAGTGTTCTGTGGGTGGGACCTGGCGGTGGGAAGTCCTTAGGTTCCCCACATCACTTCACCTGAGCATCCTGGGAACTGTTTCCTTCCCAAACTGTGTTACTGGGTTGTTGTGGGTGTTCATAGGGTTTCCAAATTTGGGATTTGGTTTGGTTTGGTTTTTTGAGACAAGATCTTACTATGTGGTCCTGACTGTCCTGGAACTTGCTCTGTAGGTCAGACTTGCTTCAAACTTAAAGAGATCCTCCTGCCTATGCCTCCCAAGTGCTGGGGTTAAAAGTGTACTCCAGGGCTGGAGAGATGGCTCAAAAGTTAAGAGCACTGGCTGCTCTTCTAGAAGTCCTGAGTTCAGTTCCCAACAATCACATGGTGGCTCACAGCCATCTATAATGGGATCTGATGCCCTCTTTTAGCGTGCAGATATACATGCAGATACAACACTGTATACATAATAAATAAATCTTTAAAAAAACAAAAGCATATGCTCCAGGAGGGGAGATGGGGGGGGCGGCCAGAGAAAGGGAGGGAGGAGAAACTGAGGCTAGTAAGTAAAATTAAAAAAAAAATGCTCCATCATGCCCTGGCTTTGTTTTGTAATATTTTTATATTTCTTTTTTATATGCATGAATATTTTGCCTGTGTATCTGTCTAAACATCATGTATGTACCTGGTTCCCCAGATCAGAAGAGAACATTAGATCCCAGGAACTGGAGTTGCAGCTGGTGTAACTGCCATGTGGGCACTGGGAACTGACCCCTGATCTTCTGTGAGAGCAGCCAGTGCTCTAACAGCTGAGCCATCTCCAGCACCTTGTTTTGTTTTTAAGAAAGGGTTTTACATTTGGGCGGTAGTGGTACATTTCTTTAATCTCAGCACTTGGGAGGTACAGGCAGGCAGAGCCTGTGAGTTCTAGGCCAGCCTGGTCTACAAGAGCTAGTTCCAGGACAGGCACAAAAGCTACAGAGAAACTCTGTACCACTAAGCCGAGTGTCAGGAAGTGTTTTCTTCATTAAAAGAGTTAACATTTAACTAAGCACAGTAGCACTTTGGAGGCTGAAGCAGGAGGACTGCTGAACGTTTGGGGCCAGCCTATGGCACAAAATGCTGGGTTCCGTTCCCAGCATCATATTACTCGTGTGTGGTGGTGCACACCAGTCATCTTGGCACTGAAGAGGGAGGCAGAAGGGTCAGGAGAGCAGGTCATCCTACACAGTGACCTCCAGGCCAGTCAGACTAACACAAAACCCTGTGACTCCTTCAGCTACCTAGGCATTTATTGAGCACCTACTGTTTTCCAAATGTGTGCTAAGTGCCGAGCCTATAACCCTGAATACAACAAGTAGTGCTTCTCATGCCTCCGGAAATTGCTCAGTACAGATAGCCAGGTTTAGAGATGAACAGCAGAGCACACACCTTTAATCTCGGTACTCAGGAGGCAGAGGCATCTTTGAGTCTGAGGTGTGCCTGGTCTACACAGAGAGACACTATCTCAAAATGGGGGGAGGTCTGGAGGGTCAACACGAGGGCTCATTGGGCAAGGGCACTTTTGCCAAGCCTGGACACAGGTACACACACAAAGAAACAGGTAAATAGGAATATAATAGCCGAGTAGTTGTGGCACACACCTTTAATCCCAGCACCCAGGAAGTAGAGACAGGTGGATCTCTTGGGTTCAAGGTCAGCTTAGTCAACCAACAGAGCGAGTCCCAGGACAGCCACAGTTACACAAGGAAAGCCTGTCTCAAAGAACCAAAAAGAAAAGAAAAATAAGTTCACAAGAAAAGGAGGCAAAGTAGGAGGTCCCATGTCGATCAATAAAAACATGAGGGTGTTAGTCAGTGGTTAGCCCCAGCCCCAGTGCTGCTACCAGACAAGGTTCTGGAAGGTTCTCACGCACGGCCTCGGTGTGTTTTGCTTACAGATAATTGGTTAAGGGCAGGCAGCCACACCTTTGACTTCCATTTCAACTTACCTCCCAGGCTTCCATCCACATTCAACAGCAAGATCGGCCACGTCTCCTACTTTGTGCAGGCCCTGTGCATGGGCCGAGAGCATATCCTGGCCAAGAAGAGGCTGTACTTACTAGTCCAAGGGATTTCTGAATTCCGCCAGCGGAACCTCACCCAGGTACCCGGGAGATGGGAGCAGGAAGGGTAGGGCTGCCTAGCCAGGCTTCAGCGTGATTCCACAACAGGCGGCTTGCCAGGGGTCAGGAATAGGGCTTAGCAGGTAAAGGTGATTGTTGCCAAGCTTGATGACCTAAGTTTGATTTCCAGGACCCATCTGAAGAGAGAAGGGAAGAACCAACTCCCTGACCTAACTAGGCATGCTGAAACCTGGGCTCCCCGCCCCCAGCCTTACACACACACACACACACACAAAATAATTGACAAAAAAAAAAATGAAAAAGGGGGGCTGGAGAGATGGCTCAGTGGTTAAGAGCATTGCCTGCTCTTCCAAAGGTCCTGAGTTCAATTCCCAGCAACCACATGGTGGCTCACGACCATCTGTAATGGGGTCTGGTGCCCTCTTCTGGCCTGCAGATATACACACAGAATATTGTGTACATAATAAATAAATAAATTTAAAAAAAAATGAAAAAGGTAACTCAGAAACCAAAGCAGGAGCCTAGTAGGTGGGATGACTCTCAACTTTGTGATTTTACATCCTGTGATATTTGGCCCTGGGACATCTTGCAGCTTACAGTTCATAATAGAGCTCCCCACCAGCACCCCCAAACCTCCTAAAAGTCAAGTGAGGGTCCAGGTGGAAGTGGCTGCTGCATCGCGGAAGCTTCTGGCAGAGCCAGGAGGCCCAACACCTGACAGGGCCCAGGACATTTGCAGGGAACGATCCAGTACTTCCTCAGTGCCGCTGAGAGAACCGTTAGCATGCCCAGGCTTCATAGCCCCATGACACTATGGGGGGAGGGGGGGAGAGAGAGAGAGAGAAAGAGAGAGAGAGAGAGAGAGAGAGAGAGAGAGAGAGAAGACTGGTAGAAGCTCGGGCCTGGCTTAGTCCAGTGAAACAGTCCCAAGATAAAGGTTGTCACCTTCACAGCCAAGCACAGGGGAGATGCCCCTGGGTGCCCTTGGATGGGTCAGACGCCCTTTCTGGGGCCTGCATGAGGACTAAAGGTGACTTATCAGCAAATGGGGGTTCAGCCTGTGCACAGGCCCTGGAGCTGCCCAGAGCTCAGTGTGGAGGCATGGCGAGGAAGCCCACCTGTAAACCCCAGCTTTGTCTCACTTTCGGCGGCGGGTTCCATGAGGCCTGCAGAGGCCCTCTTGCACCCGTGAAGTTGAAGTTTTCCACACAGAGGAGGGGCTCGAAGGGAATCGCTCAGCCTTGGTGTAGCAGGCAGAGAGAAATGCCCCCTTGCTGAAAAGGGAGGGGGTGAGAGATGCAGGGGTCAGAGGTTAAGAATGGAAGGTGATGTCAGAAGGTCAAAGATTGGTAGACCCTTGACCCTATGAGGATACCTTGTTAACCTGATTGTACTTTTCTTTTTCCTTCTGTTTAACATTTACTTATCTTGGTGAAGGGGGCCCACAGCAAGTGTATGGGCCTCAGAGGATGGCCTATGGGAGTCAGTTCTTTCCTTTCACCACGTGGGGCCTGGAAATTGAACTTGGGTCTTCGGGCCTAGTGGCAGGTGCCTTTGTCCATTGAGCCACTGCAGACAGACAGAGTGGGGACACGGGGACGTCAGGCTCAGCCACTGCAGACAAAGTGCAGCCCTGGCTGTCCTGGAACGTGCTCTGCAGACCAGGCTGGCCTCAATCTCACAGAGATCCACCTGCGTCTGCCTCCCGAGTACTGGGATTAAAGGTGTGCCCCCACCGCCAGCGTTGTCCTATAGGTTTTAAAAGTCTCATTCTATAGTCCTGGCTGTCCCTTCTGTGGCCCAGGCTAGCCTTGAACCAACAATCTTCCAATCTGAGCCTCCTGGTGCTCCACAGTCCCTAGGGTTGGAGACACAAGTCAGGGAGACAGAAGTCTGGGTCTCAAGTCCTCCCACCATCCCCCACAGCCTGCATGAGCTGCAGCAAGAGGTCCTCAGCAGGTCTATCCTCTTCCTTTATAGAACCCCATATTGGTGGAAGTGGAGAAGAAGGTATCTTACAGCTGCTGTAGCCAGGGCTGGGTGAGGCTGCAGGTGCAGATGGTCAAGAACACCTTCGTGCCGGGTGAGAATGTGACATTCACGACGGAGATCCGCAACAACACAGGCAAGTATATCAAGACGGTGGTGTTTGCCCTCTACGCCCACGTGCAGTACGAGGGCTTCACGCCCAATGCCGAGCGGCGCCAGCGGGCGGACAGCAGTGAGCTGCTGCGACAGGTAGCCAACGCTCACATCCCAGCCTTCAACAGCACCACAGTGGTCAGTGCCTTCACCCTGCCACTGGTATTGTCCGTGAGCAACTGCTCCCAGGAGAACGAGATCATGCAAACGAGCTATGAGCTAGTCGTCACTATCCACCTCCCCTGGTCCTTGTCCACCGTCAAAGCCCGGCTCCCCATCATCATCACCAGCAGGAGGGAAGACCAGGACAGCTGCCCCCAGGTGGTTGAGTCACCAAATGAGGACCAACTGGTTTGAATGCCTGAACTTTAATATTAAAAGCCTATTGTAACTCTAAGCGAGCTGCTTGTCTGCTGGGCCTGGGGCTAGCAGGGCAGGTACAATGCCCTGGGCTCTATCCCAGATACCACACAATCCTGGTGTGAGGGCGTGCACCTGTCACCTGGCACTCAGGAGCTGGAGGAACAGGAATTCAAGGGCAGCCTCTGCTACCTAGCGAGCTCCAGGCTAGCCTGGGTTATGTGAGACCCAGTCTGAAGGGAACAGACGTGTCTCTTAAGTCTTGCCAGAGCAGTCACTGTGGGCCAAGTTCCCATGGGTTAAGTATCTACCTCTAAACAGAGGTCTCCAAAGCCAGGCATGGTGGCACACTGTCCCAGCACTGGGGAGGCTGAGAGGTTTGAGGTCATTCCGATTATATATTACATTGTCAGCAATGCCTGGGCTCTGTGAGACTCTGTCAGTGCTATGCCATACTGCCATTAGCAACCTAGTGAATGCTTTTTGGAACATTCCATCCAGCTCTGCAACTTTCACAGGGAGACTCCTTCCCCCTCCACCCCTGAGACTCAGTGACTCACACAGGCAAGCGTTGCGGACACTTCCTGTGTGGTGACTGACGACACTCACCATGCCAGGTGGGCCAATGGGAGAAGGCAGCTGGGGCCACCAGGTTTCCTGTCCTCCGCGGAAGGGCCCCTCATTCTTCCTGGTTCCCAACCCCAAAATAACCCCCCTCCCAGAAACCTAAGCCACTCACACAGCTGCAAGCTCTGGGGGGAGCAGTGACTGTAGCTGCCCCCGGAGGACCATCCACACTGCAAGCCCCAGCCACCAGTGAAGTGACCAGTCTCCCCACCACCTAGGACTGGTGGGAGGAGCCCACTTATCTTGTCAATTAGAAGGACTTAAGGATGTCCCCCCAGGTCAAGGCAACACCTCCGTGTTCACTTATTCAGTTTCAAAGTGGTCACCAGGACAGCAGCCCCCAGTCTCCACCCAGGAGACAGCAGGAACAGCTTGTCCCCACTGGCGTGACAACATGACTAGGATGTCCTGGACTCTGGCAGTGCTCTGAGTAGCCCGCTTGGCCACCATGAGCCAGGCTGCCCTCTCTGGGACCTGTGGCCCCTGAGGGATTGGGTTACAGGCCCCACAGGGCACAGCCCTTGGGCCAGCCAAAATATTTATAAAGTGAAGCCTGCCCACTGGGCCCGCTTGCTTTAAAGTCGCCTCAGGAGCCACCAGGCAGCCTGCACGGTCTGTCTCAGAGCCCAGAGAAACAAGGAACCAAGGATTTTAGTGGCTGCCTCTCACAGGAGCTGGAGTGCCAGAATGTGGTGGACAAAGGAGACACAGGGGGTCTGGAAGAAGCTGGGACAGCCTGGTGGGCCAAGGTCTCAGAGCTGTGCCCCTCCCCCAAGCCTGCCACCACCCAGCCTCTCACAGGGGACAGCGGGCAGCTGGCGCCATGAGGCCCAGGGGGCGGGGACAGCCGGGGCCTGCGTGTTAAATGTCCCCCAGCTGCCTGTGGTGAGGGGCAGCGTAAAACCCTGGCCACACAGGCCACAGAGTAGATATGGACAGAGGCTGGCCATCAGGTGCTGAGTAAAAGCAAGGACTTGTGGCTATAATGTGTCCTCCAAAGAGTGGGGACACGGGGACATCAGGGCTCAGCTACTGCAGACAGACAGAGTGGGGACACGGGGACGTCAGGCTCAGCCACTGCAGACAGAGTGGGGACATGGGGGCGTCAGGGCTCAGACACTGCAGACAGACAGAATGGGGACACGGGGACGTCAGGCTCAGCCACTGCATACAGAGTGGGGACATGGGGGCGTCAGGGCTCAGACACTGCAGACAGAGTGGGGACATGGGGGCATCAGGGCTCAGACACTGCAGACAGACAGAGTGGGGACGTCAGGCTCAGCCACTGCAGACAGACAGAGTGGGGACCTCAGGCTCAGCCACTGCAGACAGACAGAGTGGGGACACGGGGACGTCAGGGCTCAGACACTGCAGACAGACAGAGTGGGGACACGGGGACGTCAGGCTCAGCCACTGCAGACAGACAGAGTGGGGACACGGGGACGTCAGGGCTCAGACACTGCAGACAGACAGAGTGGGGACGTCAGGACTCAGACACTGCAGACAGAGGGCTAGCTCTTTCATCTAGAATCTTTGTTTTTCCTGCCTAAAATCTTATGTAACCCAGGCTGGCCTCAAACTCACTGTGCAGAACAGGCTGACTTGAACTCTCCTGATCCCCCGGCCTCCAGCTCCAGGGTGCTGGGGTGACAGCATGGAGCCCACCTGGGAATGTAGTGCTGAGGACAGAACCCAAGTTTGGTGTGTACTGACTGAGCAGCGACACCCAACCCCTAATTTCTTTGAAAAGAGGCCAGAAGTGGTTGCAAATGCCTCTCGTTCCAACACGGATGATGGCCTCAGTCGATGAGACAAAATAAAAGTTCCTTGGAGGCCAGCAAGATGAATCAATTAGGAAGGGAGTTTGCTGCCAGTTAAAGCCAGAGTTCAATCTCCAGGCACCACGTGGCGGAGAGAAAGGATGCCGGCATACTCTAGTCTGACCTCTACACACCAAATACATAGATGTAACACAGTTTTAAAATATCCCTTGGATCAACTCCCCCAAGTATTATGCCATCTTGTTTTTGAGATGGACCCACTATGTAGATCTGGCTGGCTGTCCGTCCCCTAAATTTAGTCTTAATGTTATCCTGCTGGCCTGATTTCCCACTGGTCTCTGAGTGCTGCCAAGCCAAGAGGGTTCAGATTATGTTCCCAGGACCAAGGTTAATAGTACATGCCTGCTAAGACACAGGGAAGGGTGACGTTGGGGGTCACTGAGGGAAGGGCACCATGGGGGGCACAGAGGAAGGGGTACCGTCAGAGGCACAGAGGGAAGGAGCGCTGTCGGGGATCACAGATCACAAAAGGAAAGGTGCCAGGGCATAGAGAAAGGGATGCATGCATCAGGGGCACAAAAGGAAGGGGCGCCATGGGGGGGCACACAGAGAAGGGGCGCCATCGGGGACAGGGCACCACCTGCCGGCAGTGTGCCCCATCCCTCCTCTGCCCCTGTGAAGGCCACATTGTTCAGTGGAAGCAGGAAGATGAGGAACACAATCATCAAGGCAATCCAGAAAAAGGAGGTCCGAAACGGAAGTCGGGAAAGATTTGTAGTACCTCAGCAAGAGTAGGTCCTCCCCAGGTTGGGCTCACGCTTGCACATGCGCAGTTGCAAACGTCTGTGCCCATTTTTTACCCCCACTTGAGAGGTCAGGGAGCAGCAGCTATGGTCACCCCCTCAGCAAACATATTCAGCTCTTTCTTAGCCCCTGAGGCCGTCTGAGGTTAACCCTTGGCTTACAGACCACGGGGAGAAAGCTTTCAGGAAGATGGGCAGCTTCAGGGCCTGCTTGGCCCAGGAGTCTGGGAAACACGGATGGCCATCTCTGGGTCCCAGAAGGCCTCGGCACGATGAGCGCCTCAGGCTGGTCGAGAGAAGGCAAGCTTTCACCTAGGGCCCCCTCCGGACTGTGCATACTCTTGGCTATTGAGTCCCCGTGTCCGGTTGGAGACTCTCACTTGGCACATTTAAAGATGTCATTCAACCATCCCCTGGATCCACAAGCCTCTTTGAGGTCTCTGGAAACATGCGGGGGTTCAAGGACACCCCCCATCAGAAAACTTTCAGGAAAGGATATTACCCATGATTTCCTCACTTCCATTCCATCCAGGACCAGGGCTCCAGGTCTTACTGGGACTCATAGGGCACTCGGTCTCCTGAGAAAGGTGGGTAAATGGTGGGCGGGACTAAGACATGGGACCCTTTGATTGGTCGTCTGTCTCGTCACTCCCAAGCCCCTCCTCCCACGGGATCCAAAAGGCCGCCCCGCCCCTCCCGGGCAGATCCGAGCTGGCCTTGGGAGGCTGGCTTCCTTGCCTCGACAACTTGAGGACTCTGGTGAGAGCTGGGGGCCCCAGGGTCGATCTTGAGGCGCCCCAGGGGAGGAGGGAGACACGAGACTTTTGCTGGGAGGATCAGAGGCCCCCAAATCTCTCCACGTTAGGAAACTCCACTTTTACAGGAGACTAACTTTTACCTGAGGCTCCAACTTTTGTAGCGCTTCCAACTCTTGGCCTGGCCACCCTGGGACTTTGGCGGTAGGGACTGAGTTCCTGAGTGCCAAGGAAGGTGGAGTCTACCGTCCTGGGTCCCCAGAATTAGAGCTGTGCTCAAATGCACGCCTCATGCTTCCTGACAGGAGGCTCCACCCTCCTCCCCGGTACTGAGTCTCCTGTCCCCCAGAGCAACCAACCCGGCAGGGCAGCCTCGGTCCAGCCCAGCACTGGCCCCAGCCGCTAGAATGCGTGAGGGAGGGGAGGGACCCTTGCACAAAGGCGGGCCTGTTCCACAGGAGGTTATGACCTGAGATCTTGTCCCCAGCCGGGCCTGGTGCCGCCTTCTCTTAGAATCTCAGTCCTTTGTTTCTGTCTTGGTGATTGGTTTTGGAAATGGGCCTGCTCTGTAAACTAGGGTGGTCTGGAACTTGCCATCCCCCTGCCTCCACGAGTAATACTGGGATGACAGGATTGTCACCAAACCAGGCAAAAAGACTCCTTGACCACTTCTAAGCCCTGACCCGCAGCAAATTTTGACCCTGGGGGCTTCTGGCTGTCTCAGCAGAGAAAGTAATCTTGTGGGCGGGACGTGGGGAGGGGGGGCAGTTCCTGGCAGCTGGAGCCGGTGTAAGGCAGTCACAGACCCCAAGAATTCAGAAAGTGCTTATCTGCAGCGGCCGGCCACCCTTTGCTTGGAGTGGGGGGCTCCAGGGTGTTCGACTACTCCTAAGGAATCAATCAGGCTTTGCTGCACCCCTAGTAAGGTGTGGGTGGACCTTACAAGGCCCGAGGCCTGACCCTCATCACCTGACTCACTGTTGGGAAATCTTTCTTGCACACCAGAAACTGCTGTCTTCCTAGAGCAGTTAGGCGGCTGTGCCCGACCTGGTTATTGTGCATCCCACAGACTCCACCAAGCAATCTACCCGAGAGTCTGAGCTAGAGCTCACGGCAAACAAGGGGTGAGCCCTCTGAGGTCCTCCCAGGGGGCTCCAGAGTCGGGATCTGCTCCTGCAGGTTGTCTTGTGGGCTCAACCTGGGCGTACTGTGGCGCGCATCCACTCACATACACACATGATACATAATAAATAAAATGTAGAAGATAAAACAGAAAGAGGGCTGGGGTGTGGCTCAGTGGAGAGTGCTTGCCTAGCATGGGCTAGACCCCTTGGGACCCACCCCAAACATTGTACACACACCAGAACAAACCCAGTGTTCTGGAATTACTGGGTTCAGACCTGGCACAACAAAATTTCCTGGGGTGCCGGTGTCTGAGTTAGGAGCATCCTTTAAACTCAGTGTTGTGAGTCAGCAGAACCCGGTGGGGAAGACAGCATGGCCCATCCCAAAGCTGCTTTCAATGAGCTGAGACTCCTGCTTCCCTCAGAAGTGATCTCTTATTGGTTCAAAACCCGACCTTATTTCTTGAGACATGGTCTCACGTAACCCAGGCTGGCCTAGAATTCACGATGTAGCCAAGGATGGCCTTGAAGTCCTGATCTTCCCCCCCAAGTGATGGGGTGACAGGCATGTGCCACCACCCCTGGTTTCTGTAGTTCTGGGGGCATCACTGGGGTGTGCTGGCTCTGCCCACTGACCCCAGTCCCACTTTTTTTTTTCTTTTCTTTTTTTTTTTTTTGGTTTTTTGAGACAGGGTTTCTCTGTGGCTTTGGAGCCTGTCCTGGAATTAGCTCTTGTAGACCAGGCTGGTCTTGAACTCACAGAGATCCGCCTGCCTCTGCCTCCCGAGTGCTGGGATTAAAGGCGTGCGCCACCATCGCCCGGCTCCCCAGTCCCACTTTTAACTGGTTTTTGAATAAGTGATATGACTTTCCTGGCCTAACGTTCAGGGACCTGCCTTCTACACCCGCCCTCCATCTCAAACCTCTTCTTAGTCTGTCTATCTTCCCGATCCTCTAACATCTATGTAAAGATAAACAAATCAGGCAGGAGAGAGGGCTCAGTGGTTAGGGCACTTCTGCCTCTCCCTGGGAGGACCCGGGTTCAGTTCCCAGCACTCCCATCAGACGCCTCACACCACCCAACTCTGGCTCTGGCCACTGCATGCACATGAAACCAAAACATAAACCTTTCTAAGACTTACTATTTTTTTAACTTTTCTGTACACACACACACACACCCATACACACACCCACACACACACAAAAAAGACTTACATTTTTGTTTTTGTTTTTGAGATAGGTTTTCACCCTGAAGACCAAGCTTGCCTGGGACTCAGACCCGCCTGCCTCTGCTCCCGGGTGCTGGGATTAAAGGCCTGCACCACCACCGCCTGGTTTAGCTAATTATTTTTAGTTATGTGCATCGAGTCCTCAGAGCCGGAGCTAGAATCAGGCGGTTGTGAGCCCACTTCTGCGGATGCTGGGAGTCAGACTCCAGTCCTGTGAAAGAGCAGTACAGTCTCGGTTCCTTAGAGCTATTTCCAGCCCCGAAATACTCTTTAAGGAGAAAGAGAGAGGAAGAAAGTCTTGAATACTTTTTCACACATTTCGTCTCTGAACATCTTGGCCTGTGAGAATTCTCTGTCTTGAACACATGGGGAAATTGTTAGTTTTTAAAAAAAATCCCTCTCTGCTGGGCATCTAGGTTGGGACCCACAACGGGGTACAGCCTATGGCAGAACAGGTGTGGCATCAGTGTCAACTGTGTGGTAACGTGGAAGAGGGCTACGAGGGGAACAGTGCCCTTGAGAGCGGTGTTAGACCTTTCTCCTTAATAGATGGTGAAAGTAAACTTTTAAAGGACGGATCTGCTAGGTGTGGCCTAGGACCTCTGTCACAACCATCCAGTGTTGAGGGGGTTCTAAATAAGAGTTTGGGGGCGTGGTCAGATGGAGCCCCTGCCTAGATCCCCAGTGAGGGGCTGGGGTATGGCTCAGGGATGCAGATTTGTTGAATGCACCTGGGTCACTAGGTCGGCTCTTTAACACCAACGGGTCAGGGGTTGAGGTGCTGTGGTGAGCTGGGCCCCACCTTGGACCTTCTGAACTGATGACGGGGCTCTGACAGGGTGGAAGGTTCATAGGTCACCTCTGCTTCCTGTGTTCCTGGGGCTGTCACTTGACTGTCTCTTCTGCCCACAGCATCTGCTGCGAGACCATGTCTAGCAACGGGTCAGATGTCCCTACTGAAGTCCAGGCTGCTGTGGAAGAACCTGTCCCACAGGTGAGGGGCTGAGCTGCAGGGAGCCCTAGGCTCCTGCTGGGGGCTGGGAAGGGAGGGGCTGGCCAGGGAAGAAGTCCTGAGATCTACCTCCCTGCTTCTTTCTTTTCTTTTCTTTTTTTTTTGTGTGTGTGTGTGTTTTTATTTTATTTATTTATTTATTATGTATACAATATTCTGTCTATGCCTGAAGGCCAGAAGAGGGCGCCAGACCTCTTTACAGATGGTTGTGAGCCACCATGTGGTTGCTGGGAATTGAACTCAGGACCTTTGGAAGAGCAGGCAATGCTCTTAACCACTGAGCCATCTCTCCAGCCCTGCTTCTTTCTTTTCTTTTCCTTTCCTTTCTTTTCTTTTAGTTTTGAGACAGAGTCTTACTATGTAGCCCAGGCTAGCATGGCACTCACAGAGATTCCCCTACCTCTGCCTTCTAAATGCTGGGGATTAAACACCTAGGCCCGGCCTTTCAATACAGGGTCTCATGTAGCACAGACTAGCCTCAAATTCACTATATGTCTGAGGATGATTTTGAATTCCTCTTACATCTCTTTGTCTCTCCTCATCTCTCTGAAACTGTCATTTAGTCCAGGCTGGCTTCTAATTCACTATGTAGCCCAGGGTACAGTTGTCATAGTTGAACCTTCGAGGCCCCAGCCTGTGTTGAATGACATCATGTACTGTCACGCCAGGTTTCTAGGGTTGGGGATGGAACACAGTGCTCTAACAACCAGTGCCTGACAAATATGGAGTTCCTCTGTCACCACACTGCCTGACACTTCACTGAGTGCTCAGTCCAATTCTCAAACAAGCAAGCCACCAGAAGCACCCGATGGGACCTTCCGGTGTCTTGCCTTGTGCAATTGTTTGTACCAGGCATGGTGGAGCCCAGCTGGTCTGCTCCCCCAAATTGAGAGCATACCTGTGAGCACCCTGAGCTGCTAACCGAGTCTCCTGCTCTCCACAGCCCAGCGTGGTGGGCCGCATGGCCAACCTGCCTCTCATCAGCTCCACGTGTGAGATGGTGAGTGCCGCGTACGCCTCCACCAAGGAGAGCTACCCCCACGTGAGGACCGTGTGTAACGTGGCTGAGAAAGGCGTCAAGACCCTCACTGCAGCCGCGGTCAGCGGGGCACAACCCATCTTGTCCAAGCTGGAGCCCCAGAGTGAGTTGAGGACATCAGGGTTTGGAGAATGTTCCTCTTGGCCATCTGTGGAGGGAATACCCCCACTTCTGAACTCCAGTTCCCTGAAACTGGCCCTGGGTGGCTCTCCCGCCTCTGAAGGGCAGTTACACTGGATGTGTTTTCTCTGGTGCCCTGCAGTTGCGACGGCCAGTGAGTACGCGCACCGCGGGCTGGACAGATTGCAGGAAAGCCTGCCCATCCTCCAGCAGCCGACGGAGAAGGTCAGTGCTAGCTTCAGTTGACTCTGCCTTGAGCCCCTGCCTGAGCCCACCAGGTCCAGCTTTATCCACAACACAAATATGACAGCCCCCACAGTCCCCACCACACTGGGCAGAAAAGGTGGCAACATCCAGTCAGAACACCATCTGGATCCCACCCAACCCAGAGGAAAGGACACACACTGTCATCTGGTCGGGCCCCTCAAGCACCACGCACAGTTTAGATGGTGGAACACGTCCTTAGAAACAGAGTTATAACTATGCAGTGTTGGTGCATGTCTTTAATCCCAGCACTTGGGAGGCTGAGGCAGGCAGATCTCTGTGAGTTCGAGGCCAGTCTGGTCTACAGAGCGAGTTCCAGGACAGGCTCCAAAGCTGCAGAGAAGCCCTGTCTCGAAAAACAAAACAAAATGAAAAACAAAAGAAAAAAACAAGCAAACAAACAGAGTTGTAAGCCTTTGGGAAGGAACCTAAACCCAAGAAGGCAGGGTCCACTTATACAGCAAACACACCCATCAGAATCCTTCCCCAGGACCTTCTCACTGCTATTCTTTTTTGTTGTTGTTTTGTTTTTTTGTTTGCTTGTTTCGTTTTTTTTTTTTTTTTTTTTTTTTTGAGAGAGTTTCTCAGTGTAGCTTTGGAGCCTGTCCTGGCACTAGCTCTTGTAGACCAGGCTGGCCTCGAACTCACAGAGATCTGCCTGCCTCTGCCTCCCGAGTACTGTTTAAAGGCGTGCACCACCACCGCTGGGCCACATGTGCTATTCTTAACTGAACCAGAAACTCTAATCTCCAGAACATCCATTAACCAAATCCAAACTAGTAGAATGTTCTCTTTGTGTGTGTGGTTTTGTTTTCCGTTTTTTTTTTTTTTTTGAGACAGGGTCTTACTTAGATAGCCCAAGCTGGGCTTGAATGTTCTGTGTACCCCCAGACCCCGCTCCCAGCCCCTCACTGACCACGCCCCCAGATCATTGCGGGTGGGGGGGTTCTAGGTGAGGTGGGGTCTCCAGCTAGCTTCCATCCTGTCTGTCCTCTGAATCACGTGCTTTCTGAGGGGGACACACTTCCTTCTCATGTTCTTGTGGGCTGGGCCCCTCCTGGATGCCATGCCCAGGAATAGTGTCAACTCCAGGAAAATAGGACAGGTTACCGCTTCTGCACTGAGGCCCAACATCTGGGTGTAGTTGCAGCTGGAGGCTTCCCAGCAGCCAGCGCCCCCACCGCTCCCAGCAGCGCCCCCACCACTCCCAGCAGCGAGCACCCCCACCACTCCCAGCTCTTTTTCTCCTGACACAGTTCTGTTTCGAGGTGTCCTTTGCAAGGAGCAGTTCAGGGTCAGAGTCTCCTGATTCTTCTTACAGAGCCTGTGCTGTGGCTCTGGGCTTTGCATTTGGGAGGTGCTGAGTTGTGTTTCCGTTCTGGGTGCTTGGAAGGTCATTTTACCCTCTGGGCTGAGCGGGACGAGCGTGTGGCCAAACTGGCATTTGAACCCGGGCTGTTGCATAGGTCACAGCTACACAGTGAATTTAGGGTTGGAGCAAGCCAGGGAAAGCTCAGTGAGGACCTGCAGTCAGGTCTGAGAGCCTCAGTTCTATCCCCAAGGACCCACAGAGTCAGATAGAACTGACTGCCTGTTGTCCTCCGGCCTCTACACACACACACACACACACACACACACACACACACACACACGTAAAAAGAAATATAAACGATTTACTTTCTTACATGATTAATTAAGTGGCTATAGAAATGACTCGGTGGTCAAGAGTGCTGTTCTTCCCCGGGACCTAAGTTTGGTTCCTAGTACCCAGTGAAATGGTAGCTGAGCTACCTGAAGGTAGCTTACAACTGTCTGGAACTCCAGGTTCCAGACCTGAGGGCCCCTGCACACAGAACATATACCTATATTGATGTATACACTTAAAATAATATAAATCTTTTTTTAAATTTTTAACTAATTGGGAAAGATACAGGTTCAGCCAGAAGCACCTTCAAATAAAAAGCAAAGGCACAGAGAGATTGCGTGACTTGCTTGAGAACACACAGCTGGGTGTGATTTGAATTTAGAAAGTTACTGCATTTTAATTTTTTTTTTTTTGAGATAGTAGCTTTGGCTGACCTAGAACTCACTGTGTAGCCCAAGCTGGAATCCAACTGACAGAATCCACCTGCCTCTCCAGTGCTGGGATTAAAGACCTGTGTGTGCCACATTACCCAGCTATGAAGTCGTGTGTGTATGTGTATGTGTGTGTGCACGTGCGTGTGTTGAGACAAGGTTTCTCTGTGTAGCCCTGGCTGTCCTGGAACTAGCTCTTGTAGACCAGGCTGGACTCGAACTCACAGAAATCGCCTGCCTCTGCTAAAGTCTTAACCACACGGGAATGACCCCCCTCTGGCCTCTCTGGGTGGGAGATCCGGGTGCAGAATGACCTTCACATGTCCTGTCTTGCAGGTTCTGGCGGACACTAAGGAACTGGTGTCATCTACAGTATCTGGAGCCAGAGAAATGGTATCCAACTCAATGATCAGTGCAAAGGACACAGTGACCACTCGGGTGACTGGAGCAGTGGATATGACCCGGGGGGCTGTACAGAGCAGCGTGGACATGACCAAGTCAGCAGTGACCAGCGGCGTCCAGTCAGTCATGGGCTCCCGAGTGGGACAGATGGTGATTAGCGGAGTGGACACGGTGCTGGTAAAATCAGAGGCCTGGGCGGACAACCGCCTGCCCCTGACGGATGCAGAGCTGGGTGAGTGTCCTTACCCCGGCCCTATGCTTGGTCCTCCCCACAACTGCCCCCAAGAGGGTACCCTCCTCTGCCCTCAGCCCTCCACGTCCTCTGGTAGATTCTGTTCATCCACCATGTGGGTTCCAGGAATCAAATTCAGTCTTGACAACAAGCCTTTTCCCCCTGAGCCATTGGTTCAGGGATGATCCCCCTGCCTCTACCTCCCAAGTACCACCATCCATAGAGGTCTCAGTTCCTCCTAGGCTGGCTGTGAGCCTGCAGCCCTGTGGGTTTTGAGTGGCAGTGGCATGTATTCATGCAAACGAGAGCAACGCCCACTCCCAGCCAACAGTGACCCTTTGTGGGGGAGACCCGCCTGCACCTCAGCAGATCAGCAGACACCAGCCTGGGTGAGGGTGGGGTGCAGCGTCCAAACAGGAACCAGAAGGCCTGTGATGGCAGCTCCTGCCTGAGCAGGCTTGGTTTTAGCCACTGACCTCCCAGCTGCATCCCTGGTGAGGACACATGTCCTATAGGACCCAGGTGGCTTGTAAGGATTAGCAGAGGCTTGTGGAGCTAGCTTAGGAGCCTAAGCAGGGGGCCTGTACATGTCACCAGCACCTGAGAGGCTGAGGAAGGAAACTGGAGCAGTTCTAGGCCAGTTCCATAGCAAGACCATGTCTCAAATACCAGAATTAGCTTCAGACTGGGCTGTAGATAGAGCGTTTACCTAGTGCATTTAAGGCCTTGGTTCAACCGGCGCAACAGACAGGTGTGGTAGCACACCAGTCACCCCAGTACTCAGGAGTGGATGCAGGGCTCTGGAGTTGGAGGTCAATTGAGCTGCCCGTCTCTTAGGGACACAGGCCTGTCTCTTTCTATGTCACGCCACACTCTGCCCATGGCTTCCTGCCCTTGCCTTGGCTAAGAACACAGGGCTCCTTTCACTTCCCGGGGTGCGGTCCCCAGCTTCCAAGAGAGCTACAAACCAGATGGCCTGGACCAAAATGTAGCTGTTTTCCTTTGAAAATCTACTGTGTAAGGAGAAATGGGAAGGAAAAAAATTTTTTTCAAAACATAAGATTTTGCCTGGAGTGATCCCACACACCTTTAATCCCAGCACTTGGGAGGCAGAGGCAGGCGTATGTCTGTGAATTTGAGTCTGGCCTGGGCTACACAGTGAGATGCTGTTTCAAAAAGCAAACAAACAAAGCAAAAAGCCCTGGGATTTGACTTTACGTCAGGCTGTCTCAAAGGCCTCTGAGTGTGCTCTTCCCCTTGTTTTTTTGAAACAGGGCATCAGTGACTTGGGGCTCACAAGACTTGGCTAAGCTGGCTGTCCAGGGAAGCCCCGGGATCCATCCTCCTGTCTCCTCCTCTGTAGCAGGCTTTCTTGGACTGCCAGCTCCCAAATCGTGACACGGAGACTTATTATTAATTATGAATGCTCGGCCCTAGTTTAGGCTTGTCTCACTGGCTCTGTAACTTATATTAACCCATCTCTCTTCGTCTGTGTTTGCCTCGGGGCTTTTTACCTCTCTTTCCTTCTGTGTGCTCTCCTATCCTGCTTCCTCCGTGTCTGACTGCTGGTGGCTGCCTGGCTGGCTGGCCCAGACTCCCTCTCTTTCTCCCTCGTTTCTTGAGCCTGGATTCCTGCTCCTACTTACTCTCTCTGCCTGCCAGCCCTGCCTGCCCCTCTACTGCAGGGCTATTGGCCAGTCGGCTTTGTATTAGACCAGTCAGGATGGAGCACATCTTTACAAGCCTGTTCCCTGTTCACTACCTTCTGCTTTTCTTTCTTTCTTTCTTTCTTTCTTTCTTTCTTTCTTTCTTTCTTTCTTTCTTTTTTTGCAGAGTGAGGTTGGATATTTATTTAGTGGGATATGGAAGGGAAGGGAAGAGGGGCTAAGGGGAGAAGTGGGGAGAAACAGAAGCTTCCTCTTCGAGAGGGAGATGGAAAAAAAAGGACTTTTTTTTTTAGAAATTTCTTTTTTTTTAAGATTTATTTATTAATTATGTATACAGTTTTCCTTGCTGCAGGCCAGAAGAGGGCACCAGATCTTATTACAGATGGTTGTGAGCCACCATATGGTTGCTGGGAATTGAACTCAGGACCTCTGGAAGAACAGTCAGCGGTCTTAACCTCTGAGCCATCTCTCCAGCCCCCTGCTTTTCAGATTTTTAAAACTATATTTCATTTTAATCCTATGCGGTGTGCCTATGCTAGGTGCACATGTAGCATCCAGAGCACAACTTTCGACCGTCGCTTCTCCCCACTGTGGGATCCAAGGATTGAACTCGGTTTCTCAGGCTTGGCAGCAAGCATCTTGGCCCACCAGCCATCTTGCTGGCCCAGGCCTGGGGATGAGCCTCTAGACAGCTGCTCTACCGCTGAGCCACACCGTCAGCCCTCTTTTTGCTTTTTATTCTGAGACGGTCTCCTGTAGCTTGGGTTGCCAGAGTTTTGCAAGCGTTCTACCTCAGGTTCCCAATGAGGCCACGCATTGGGCACTGTGAACCTAAGCACTCTCTCCTTCTGTGCCACAGCCCTAATTGCCACGTCCTCCGAGGACTCGGACATGGCCTCGCTGCAGCAGCAGAGACAGGAGCAGAACTACTTCATCCGGCTGGGCTCACTGTCGGAACGGCTACGCAACCACGCCTATGAGCACTCACTGGGCAAGCTGCGCAATGCCAGACAGAGTGCGCATGAGGCCATGCAGCAACTCATGCATGCGCTCAGCCTGGTGAGCTTTGGGGTGTGGCCAGGGCTGGGGTCTCCTTCCTGCAGCTCCCATCCCTCCCGAGCTGGGATCTCACTAGGTGGATTGGACTGGTTCCCCTGGGGCGGCTTCCTCCATACCATGGTGTGTGAGTCAGCTCAGAATATGTAACAAAGGGCACAGTCTGGGCAGCTGAGCCAGGCACATTCATTGTCTGACCATGTGTGAGACTGAAGTTCAGTTGAGAAAGAGGAATTGCGGACTTTGATGGATGAGTCCGGGGCACAGGCTTCTTTTTCTCTGTCTGGATACCTAGGGGTGCTGGTCACTGGGTCCTGAGTTCAGCTAAGGTACTATTCCATCTCACTCATTTGAAGTTGACGATGGTTGCTGGTGGAGCAGGATCCATTAAGCATTGCCCAAGGGGACTCCTTGGCGCTTGCCTCTCATCCTGGCAGAGGCCAGCCTGGGCTACGGAGTCAATTCCTGGCTAGCCAGAAATGGAAAAAAATGTAAACGGAGAGCATCCCCATACCTGCTGTCCCAGACTGTCGGGGGCACGGGCTCCCTCAACCCCCACCCCTTTCTCTGTGCTGCAGATGGAATCTGTGAAGCAGGGTGTGGACCAGAGGCTGGGGGAGGGGCAGGAGAAATTGCACCAGATGTGGCTCAGCTGGAACCAGAAGACACCCCAGGATGCAGAAAAGGACCCAGCTAAGCCAGAGGTACACGCTGGGGCCCAGGGCTCCCTGTGTCTGCAGCCCTACTCTATGCACAGCGGGCTTCCTGTCCCGGGGTGACAGCAGAATCCAGACTTTACACGATTGATTCTGATTTGTTTTGGATTTTTTTCCTTTTTCTCTTAGTTTCTCATGGCAGGCTCTCACTATGTAGCCCTGGCTGTCCTGGAACTCTCTCTCTGTAGACCGGGCTGGCCTCGAACTCACAGAGACCCACATGTCTCTGCCCGCTGAGTGCTGGGATTAAACGTGTGCACTACCACTGCCTGGCATTTTGGCTTGGTTTTTAATTTTTGTATTTTTATTATTACTGTGGAGGTTATTTGGTTTGGTTTTGAGATCACCACTGTATGGCCACCACATCTGGCCTCTTAGCGCCCACGTTGTAATTTGATTTGGGGTTTGTATGTTTTGTAATTTTTGCTGTTTGGCTTTTGTGTCCGATGAGTCTAGATTCTAGGCATCTTCCACGTCTCCCTGTAAATCTATTTTGAAAAGGTTACTGGGGCCTGTGGAGAGCCAGATCCCTGTTCCCAACGCTGGGCTGTGGCCCTGCTGGCTCTCACCCTGCTCCGTTCTCCTTTCCAGCAGGTGGAGGCCCAGGCGCTTAGCATGTTCAGGGACATTGCCCAGCAGCTACAGAGCACGTGTGTGGCCCTGGGGGCCAGCATCCAGGGCCTGCCTGGCCACGTCCGAGAGCAGGCCCAGCAGGCCCGCAGCCAGGTGGACGACCTTCAGGCCACTTTCTCCAGCATCCACTCCTTCCAGGACCTCACAGCCGGTGTTCTTGCCCAGACCCGCGAACGCATAACCAGAGCCCGGGAGGCCCTTGACCACACTGTGGAGTACGTGGCCCAGAACACACCAGTCACGTGGCTGGTGGGCCCCTTCGCTCCTGGAATCACTGAGAAAGCCCTGGAAGAGAAGTAGAGACAGGTCGGGGCCAGCAGCTGGTTTCAGCCAGCTTTTTCCAATAATCCTGTTGCATACTAGGTCCTCAGCTACTCTGAGTCTGAAGAAGTGGTTAACCTTCTCCCATCAGTCTTTTGAAGAAGAAGAAAAACTCTAGAATGTTCTAGGAGAAAAATTTTTTTCGAGAATGTTCTAGAAAAAAAAAAATCCCTAAAAGAAAAAACAGGGTAACCAGTAGTAATGGCACATTCCTGCCATCCTATGCCAGCACTGTGGCGGGAGAGGCAGGAGGATCAAGAATTTTAAGCCGGGGCTGGAGAGATGGCTCAGAGGTTAAGAGCATTGCCTGCCTTTCCAAAGGTCCTGCGTTCAATTCCCAGCAACCACATGGTGGCTCACAACCATCTGTAATGGGGTCTGGTGCCCTCTTCTGGCCTGCAGACATACACATAGACATAATAAATAAATAAATATTTTAAAAAAAAAAAAGATTTCTGTCTCAAAACTAAAAGAAAAGAAAGGAAAGGAAAAGAAAAGAAAGAAGCAGGGCTGGAGAGATGGCTCAGTGGTTAAGAGCATTGCCTGCTCTTCCAAAGGTCCTGAGTTCAATTCCCAGCAACCACATGGTGGCTCATAACCATCTGTAATGGGGTCTGGTGCCCTCTTCTGGCCTTCAGGCATACACACAGACAGAATATTGTATACATAACAAATAAATATTTTTTAAAAAAAAAGAATTCTAAGCCAGACGCTGTATAGCAAGCAGAGTCAGTGAAAGCCTGAGACTCACTTAAGACCACGGCCTGATGATAGCCCATTCCTGTTGCCTTTTCTACGGCATGGACCATCATAGCAAGCGGTTTCCTATCCTAACAGTTGGTCCTCATGGTGTGGACAGCAGGACGTGAAATTGTTTCAGATGAGAAAGTGGCTGAGGACTGAGTGTCCAGTGTTCCTCAAACCCTGGGGTTCAGTATTGCTATAATAAATTTTATGACCATCAGAGGCCAGGCGGACAGTGTGTGTGTGTGTGTGTGTGTGTGTGTGTGTGTGTGTGTGTTCCTTTCGCTGCTGAGCCACCCTGGCAGAGGAGCAGGAGGGGCCCATTGCCGGGTTTCCCTCCTGTGAGGTGTAGGGGAGGGGGGTGGTAAGGTGCAGCAGACTGAACATAATCTTCCAAACACGGCTGTTCCCCTTGATCTGGAGACAGGAGGATTAGGAGCTCAAATTTCACCCTTGGCTGCTGTAGGAACTTCTTCAGCCAGTGGCTTTTTTTTTTTTAAATATTTATTTATTTATTTATTATGTATACAATATTGTCTGTGTGCATGCCTGCAGGCCAGAAGAGGGCACCAGACCTCATTACAGATGGTTGTGAGCCACCATGTGGTTGCTGGGAATTGAACTCAGGACCTTTGGAAGAGCAGGCAATGCTCTTAACCACTGAGCCATCTCTCCAGCCCCAGCCAGTGGCTTTTTTAAGTGAGGGGCTGAGGGCGTGGTCAGGGTGGAACCCCACCTAGAACCCCCAGTAAGGGGCTGGGGGCGTGGTCAGGGTGGAGCCCTGCCTAGACACCCCCCCCCCCCGTGAAGGGCTGGGGGCGTGGTCATGGGGTACAGTTCCCCCTTCCCACCTATTATCTCCCAGTGAAGGGTTGGGAAGAATGGCTTACATGTACACACCACTTCCCAGTGATTGTAAACTGCTTCTGCTTTTCTGTTTTCACAATTTAGTTTCATCAGTTTTTTTGTTTTGTTTTTTGAGACAGGGTTTCTCTGGGTAGCTCTGGCTGTCCTAGAACTTGCTCAGTAGACCAGGCTCTCCAACTCATAGAGATCCACCTGCCTCTGCCTCCCAAGTGCTGGGATTAAGGGTGTGCTCTGCCATTGCCGGGCTAGTTTCATCAATTTAAAAACATGCCTGTAATCTAAGCATCTGGGAGACTAAGTCAGGAGGATAGCTAAAGTTCCAGGATAGAGTCACATACATACAAAGACTGCTTCTTTTTTTTTCTTCTTTTTCTTTTTGATTTTCGAGACAGGGTTTCACTGTAGTTTTAGAGCCTGTCCTGAAACTAGCTCTTGTAGACCAGGCTGGCCTCGAACTCACAGAAATCTGCCTGCTTCTGCCTCCTGAGTGCTGGGATTAAAGGCGTGCGCCCCACCACCCGGCCAAGGACTGTTTCTTAAAATACTAAATATCCAGAAATATCTTTCTAATTTTTTTTTGTTTTGTGTCCTTGTGAAGTCTCAGCGGGTCTTCTTTGACCTACAGACACACACACACACACACACAAAATAAATAAATAAAACGCTAAAATATTCTCAACCAAATAGATTTCCTTGTAGCCATTTGCACTCTATTTATTTTGTATTAATAATTTTTTTTTTTTTTTTGAGACATGGCTTCTCTATGTAGCCTGGCTGTCCTGGAACTCACTCTGTAGACCAGGCTGGCCTCAAACTCAGAGATCCACCTGCCTTTGCCTCCCAAATGCTGGGATTAAAGACGTGCACCACCACCACCACCCAGCCTATTAATTTAGTTTTGAGATGGAGGTCTCACTGTGTAGGTTAGGCTTGATCGAAACTCAGGCAATCCTCCTACTCAGCTTCCAGTGTGCTGGACTAATAGGCATAAATCACCAGGGTTCCTGTGAATTTAGCCACGTGGTGCGTTGCGAATCCCCAGAGTATATGTCACTAATTGAGGTCTGTGGCCACCAGCTCCTCGGTCTCTGGGGTGGGGGCTTCTCCTTCCCCTGCCTTGGCTCCATACAATTGGAGCTCTGCCTTGTTCCACGTGGCACCGTGGCACTGGGCAGAGGGCAGTGTTAGGTCCGGGGAGTCCTGGGGACTTTCCCTTCTGGGGCGGGACACAGATGACTTCATCTGCTCCTCCCCCACACGGAAGGGGTGGAACCGTTCCCTCTTCTCCCTCCTCCTCCAGCGGCCACCAAGGACCCTGAAATCCACCAGCCCAGGACTCCACAGCCAGGTAGGATGAAACAGAGGGGACACAGGTGCCGGGCCTGGAGGGCCGTGGACAGCCTGGGTGGCATGCTGGGCCCCCACCTGCAGCCCTTTCTGCTTCCTCAAGCTGTTTCCCGTGGACACTCAGATCTGCAGCCCAATTCCTGCCCAACCCAGGCCTGCAATCCTTGGTGCTTGCTCAGTCCCCAGTGCCTCCAAATTCCTAGATCTTCCAGCTCCCAGGTCTCCCCCAGCCACACAGCAAACTCCCACCTTCCCCACCCCCAAATCCCTCTCCTGGTCTCTTTTTCCTGACCAGATCTGCTTTCTCTACCTCAATGTCCCCTGTCAAAATCCCTGTCCCCAGACTAATACAGGCCCTGTCTGCTAGGTGTAGGGACTGGCCTGGTGCAGCTCCTGCAGCCAGCTGCCCCTGGTATATGCAAGATCAGCCTGGGAACCACTCCAAGTCCCCTGGCAGCCCTCAGTGCCTGAGTCCCAAAGCTGACAGTCCCTAGAGACTGGGGGAGGGGACCCTGTGCCACAAGAGACTGCCATTTCTGCCAGAGGGAGGCCAGGCAGGAGAGAAAGGGACCCCATTCTCCCATCCATTCATCCACACTCCCCCCACCATCCACCAGTCCTAGTTCATGCTAGGGACGTCGCCCAGGGTCTCACACATGCTGGATGAGAGCTCTACCCACTGAGTACCTCCACCCCGCTCTTAAAAATAATTACTTTTATTTTTATGTCATTTATGCTATGTTATTTATTTGTATCTTGAGGTCAGTTCTCACTATGTAGACCAGGTTGGCCTGGAACTCACCTAGGCTGCCCCTGATCTCAAGACACCCTCCTGCTCCAGGGAGGTGGTAGGGCAAGCCTTTAATCCCAGCAGAGGCAAGAGGATCTCTGAGTTCAAGGCCAGCCTGGTCTTCAGAGCTAACTCCAGGACAGCCAGGGCAACAGGGAGAAACCCTGTCTTGAAAAACCAAAAAGCAAAACAAGACAAAACAAAACAAAACAAAAACTCCTCAAATACCCAAATACTGTGCGCCCTGCTATATATTGCCTGTTCATTGCTTAGCTGTGTCAATAACATTTCTCTCTCCACTCTGTGTCTCTTTCTCCCCGCAACCCTGTCCCCATTTGGCATTGGGAGTTGAACACGGGGCGTCATGTATGACAGATAGGCACCCCAGCCACTCAGTTGTGTCTCCAGGCCTCAGTAAGCACTTACTGAGCACCTACTGTGTACCAGGTACTATCCTGTTCACGTGCTGAGTTTTTTCCTCCACCGAATGCTTATTTTATTTATAAGTGTTGTTGTTAGAGACAGGGTTTCTCTGTGTAGCTCTGGCTATCCTGGAATTTGCTCTGTACACCAGACTGGCCTTAAACTCAGAGATCTGCCCGCCTGTCTTTGCCTCCTGAATGCTGGGATTTGTTTATTTAGTAATTTTAACTTTTTTTCTGTCTTCCTTCCACCACATGGGTCCACGGACTGAACTCAAATCATCCAACTTGGCAGTGTGACGCATCCCTACCCACTGAGTCATCTTGCCAGCCCTCAGTCAGCATTTATTATGCACCCACTGTGTGTCAGGCACTCTGGATATGGGAATTAGACAGAGAGAGCTGTACCTGAGCCTTGCTCCTGCTGGGGCCCACACTGGGGTCTGGTATGGGTCATGATGGCTCTTCCACAACATGGAGTCAAATTCAGTGGGTGCGGAGCGAGTGCCCTGCCGTGGAGGGGACTGCCCTGAGGATATGACCCGAGAGGGACGCTGCCCCTGAGATAGGACAGTGCATATAAATGACAGTGTAGCAGGCACAGAGAGACGAGGGAGAGAGGAACAAGCCCTGCTTGTCTCCTCTGCCTGGTGCCCCCGAATCCAACAGTCTAACCTCACAAAGGCTTCCTTCCTAGGTAGGGCCTCTGCTCACAGCCTTCCAGGGCGCCTACCTTCCTCGGGGTCAAAGCTGCCCTGGTCCTCTCTCTCTGATCTGGCCTACTCTCTGCTCCAACAGGCCAGCATTTCTGCTCTTTAGGCTGAGTCCCGCGCCCCAGGGCCTTTGCGCTCACACACTCTCCAAGGGAGCTCTCTGAACTAGCTCACCTCCGCCAGGGTTGCAGCCTGATCTTGCCCTCCCTAGGGCATCCCCCACCCCAGGTTCATTTCCTCCATGGCACTTTTATTTCTCGAAATGACCTTAGGTGATTTTTTTTATCACTTCCTGTTGCTCTGCCTGATGCCAGCGTGTGTGCCCTCTCCATGTGCAGCATCTCCGATGGCAGTGCCCAGGCTTTGTGAGCAATACCCAGTCTATGAAGAGACTGCACAGGTGTGGGGGAGAAGGAGGGACATGAGGACATGTACCTACATGTGGTACAAGGCTTTGGTGTGGTGGGGAGGCCAGAACAGGGGTTTATCTGGTAGGACTTTGACCCCTGCCACAGGGGCCTTTGCATGAGCTGTGTCCTCCCCTGGATGTCCATTCCCCTCAACCCAGGCTTCTCCATTCCCACGTCCTGTCCAGGTACTGTCTCTGTCTTAGGCCCACAATGCTCAGATCCGCCAACATGAGCCTTACTCCCTGAGTTCCCCACCCTCTTCCGAGCTTAGTCTTGTCTGCAGCCATGATGGACAGCTGGTCCACTGTGAATGTAGCTCCTTTCTCAGGCTTAGCTCTGTTTCTTTTGTTCCCACTGTCACTGCGGCTGTCTTCACTTTCACACCTGACTGCCTCAATTTCCCAGCAGCCTCTCTGACACCTTCCTGGTCTGCCATCTGCCTTCACTCCCCCTCCCTCTGCCTACCTGACTCCCTTGACCTGGGCCTTGGGCCCAGCCCACCTCTGCTGCTCAAAGTCCAGTCTTTGAAGACTTTTCAGTCATCTGTGTGCAAAGTCTGTGGGTTGACTGAATGGTGAGTAGACTTCTGCCCTAGACCAGGTCCCTCTTGAGTAGCCCAGACATTTACATGTCTGGCTCATTCTCTGTGAGGCATTGTGGACCCAGTAGGCGCTGGCCTCCACCCACTCCATGCTAGGACTGTTTGGCCACACCTGTCCCTGCCTGAGAAGCCAGCAGGGCACTGGGGTGGGACAGGAGTGAGCCCCATCCCAGCCTGGCTGTGGATGCAAGACTGGTGTCAGGGGCACTAGGACTAACAGCCTCTGAGTTCGTCTCAACCGTGAAGACAGAGTGGGGATGAGTGACAGACTTGGTCCTCCCACCTGAGGGTCCCTGTGAGAAGCCTCTATGCCAGTTCACTCTCCACACCTGGCTGTGCAGCACTGGGCGTGGAACCTGCGGAGCCCGCGGCTCTGCATGCTCGGCCAGTGCTCTCCCCTCTGACCACAGCCTTCCTGCTGGTTTGGAGACATCTCGCTCTGTCGCCCTGGCTGGCCTGGAGCTCAGAGAAAGCCTCTCAGTGCTGGGGTGAGTCACGGTGAACTTCCATTCCCACAGGTCTGTTGCACCATCCTCCAGGATCCCCTACAGCCGGGGACACGCGTGCAGGAGGCTGTCGGTCTGGAACATGTCTTCACCCGCCCCAGCCTCTGTGGCTCCAGGCTTCATCCTTCCTCACCCATGGCCAACCCGGGCCCATCGCTCCATGGCGTCTTAGGCATTTTAGGAGCAGTGGGAAGGGACAGGCTGGTCCACCTGGAACACAAGCTGGAGAGTCTGCACCCAGGCAGCCAGGAGTCCAAGCTTCTTCACGCCATGGTGCTCTTGGCTCTGGGCCACAACACAGAGGCCAGGTCCTCTTTGCGGTCCTTGAAAGCAGACACAGTGGCCCAGCTAGTAGCCCACCAGTGGGCAGGCGAGGTCAACACAGAAGGCCCCGAGGAGCCCCCAGATTTATCCTGGACTGTGGCTCGCCTGTACCATCTGCTGGCTGAGGAGAACCTGTGTCCAGCTTCCACAAGGGACATGGCTTACCAGGTGGCCCTCCATGACCTTGCCTCCCAGGGTGACCACCTGCTGGGCCAACTCCAGAAGGAGGCCTGGGATCGGTGTAGTTCAGACACCATGGGGGACCCCCATGGCTTCCAGCCACTACATTCTGATCAGGGTTGCCTGCCGCCAACTTCAGCATCTCCTTCAGTGACCAGAAGCCAGCCTCGACCCATTGACACATCATCAGACTGGAGCCAGGGGCATTCTCTACACTCCACTGGCAGCATGGCCTCACTGGCCAGCCACCTGGAGATCAGCCAGTCACCCACTCTGCCCTTTCTCTGTCCACAACGTGGAACCCATGGACCCAGCAAACTCTGTGACACACCCCAGGCCTCCCCTGA